CAGAGAAAAACCTTCAGTCTCCTCTGGGGATGATGTTGAGGGACAGGGATGTCAGGAGATGGGAGGAATCTGTTCCAAGTACATATTTTTAAGCATTATCCCTGTTTTTAATTCCCTGACATACACCTTCCTTTTGTAATACTTGGTGCCTTTAATTCCCAAGTTTTTCTGGAGTTCTGCACAGTAAATTAGCTTCTATTACTGGGTATCTCCCACTCCTTTGTTTGCCTGTTTGTTTTTATTTTTGTATCAAAGTATAACATTCAGAGAAGTGCACAAATCAGAAGTGTTTATTTCAGTGATTATCACTGTAATAACCAGACCCTGTAAACACTACCTGGTCAAGAACTACAGCGTTAGAAAACTCCATAAACACTTCCCTCATACCCTCCCAGTTGCTGCCCCCTCAGTTCTCCCCAGGGTAAACCCCCGTCTTGATTTCTTATACCATAGACTAGCTGGGGCTATTTTTGAACTTTACGTTATGAATGCATATTATTCCTTATAATACTATTAATGGCTATAAATTCTCCAGGCATTTTCCTGGGATTAGTCAGTACTGAAGCATTATCTGGTATTAGGAAGTAGGAGTATCATTATAAACTTAGTAAAATAATTTAAAGGCCTGTATGAAAGATAAGCAGTTATTATTTTCTTGCTACACAGACCAAGTCTTTGAGAGTTTAGAATTTTACCTATAATCTAAATTGTCCTGTTAGTTTTAGCTAACTTTAGAGACCTAAGCAGAAATCTAATGAGTCAACTTTTTTTCCTCCCAGGTAAACCAGAATTTTATCAAGACAGAGACCCCTTGAGGGTCTCCATTAGCCAGGAACAGAGTTTCCTTGGGAGCCCACTGGACAGTGATTCATTTGGTGATCTTCATCCAGTTGCCCAGGAGAACATGTCTGGTGATGACTCGGATGAAGCAGGTGAGAGAGAAAGAAATTGAAGGTGGAATTGCTGTGCACAAGGATATGTCGACAAAAGATATTTATTATAGTTTCATTTGTAATGAAATATGGTAAATAACTTCAATGACTGTTGGTAGTGGAATCATTATGGTGCACCCACACTATGCAGTTCAGTGTGGTTGTTAAATGATGGGGGAAAATCTGTGTCCATACCCTGAAAATTGTCTGGAATGAGAATCACCAAAGTGTTGGTCCAGGTTTACCTTTATTGGAGGCTGGGTTTCACTTTCTCTTTTATAAGTTCACATACTGTAGTTGTGGGGGTTTTTTTTACAAGAAGCATGTATTATTTCTGTACATAAAAAGTTAAATGAGGGAAGTGAAGTTTATTTAAAGAAGAATTAATTTCACTTTTAAATTGTTTTACTAAATAAATGCTAATAGGAAGAGTATGAAGGTATGAGGTTTTTACATTTGGCAACCTCTATGAATTTTGTGTTTAAGCCGATTCATAACAATTCACATTTAATTAAATACTATTAAATATTATCTTTAAAAAATTCTGTCTCTAGCATTCTAAATGAGCTGCTTTATGTTTGCTTTTAAATATTTGGAAAATAGAGAATTACAAGGAATAAACCTTAAATCACTTAATTCTGCTACCCAAACACAACCAATGTTAATTTTCTCACTTTTGAATTTATGCAGGTCTCTAACAAGCTGCTTTATATGTGTAATATTGCTTACTGACCCTACAAAGCGTAGTCCTAGTACTGCTTCATTGGTTCTAAAGCACCTTTTAAGTAGTTACCTTTTCTAACCAGAGCTCTTTTTATTCTTGCTGTCACACATGCTTGGATAATTATCTTACTTGTGTCTATAGTTTAGTAGAATGAGAGATGACCGAGACTTATTCTGTTTTTGAGAGTTTATGGAAAAATTGACTTCAGCATCTCCTTTGTAAATTGGAGATTGAAATAACTGCAAAGGATCTAACTTCCAGTGAATTATAGTTTTGACCTTTTAAAATAAAACTGTTATCACTCTTTTAGATTTAGCCAGTGGATACTTATATTTCCTTTTTATTCTACCTGTGGATGTCCTATAGCCAAAGACTACCAGGAACACACCTGTGGGTGGACAAAGCTGGGTGTTTTGACTTGTTGCAGTGAAGGGGAATGCACACCTCAGGGAACCGTGAGGAGTCTCAGTAGGAGGATATTAGAGAGGACTTACTATAAGATTTGGGTTTGTATTGGGTGACTTGGGGAGGGTTCAAGGGAATGGGGTTTTGCTTATTAGCGCTGGACATTATCAGGAAGCAGGGATAATTCTGTTATTGGGCATCTAAAAAATTCTTACCTAGAAGGTAGGAATAATGGAGTGAGGCGAATTAAGGCTCTAATGTTAAAGCAGCAGCAGTCACTCATATTAGCCGGGATAGGGAGACGCTTGGTCATTTGTGTGGTTTGGACAAGATTCATGGTTTTGTCTATGTTCAGAGATAAGTATGGGTGGTCTGATTTTTGTCTTGATCCATCGCAGTCACAGAGTGGCCTTTTCTGATATTGATGTTCTGTGAAACTGATAATGTTTAGAACACCAAGGCCTAGCTGACAGTGCCAGGTCAGCTCCTGGCTCTCGGGCTGCTTTTCTGTTTCTCATAATCATCCCAGGTTCATATTGTTTCTCTCTTGGAAGCAAGAGCCTTAGTTTTGTTACTTCTCTATTCCCTCCCTACCACTTTATTCAGGTCCTCTTCACCTCACCTTGATTTCTTAATAGCTTTTTAGCTGGTATCACTAATTTCAAGCTCTGTACCCTTTGCTTTTGTAGGAAGGCAGGAAATGGCGCCTTCCCACATAGCATGGGAAGATTACTCTGTTTAAGGCATTGCTTTCATGCTGTTACTTCCCCTTTTTAGGAACCTCCTTAGTGGGTCCCTGTTATCAGTGAAACATTTCCAAATTAATAACACTTAACATCTTTTCCAACACTTTCAGAGACCTATTCATTGAATTCAACATCTTAAATAACTGACCTTTCTCCTTTCTCTATTCTTTTTTTTTTGTGAGGAAGATTGGACCTGAGCTAACATCTGTTGCCAATCCTCCTCTTTTTGCTTGAGGAAGATTGTTGCTAACATCTGTGCCCATCTTCCTCCAGTTTGTATGCAGGACACTGCCACAGCATAGCTTGATGAACAGTGTGTAGGTCTGTGCCCAGGATCCAAACCTGTAACCTTGGGCCACCGAAGTGAAGTGCACGAACTTAACCACTATGCCACTGGGCTGGCCCCTCCTCTCTCTTTTTTATTTTTCGCTTCTTATTACTACCCAATTGCTACCCTGTTCGTTCATCTCTCCTCTGAGGGAATCTTCTTGTTATGTGGCAGATAACAATATAGAATTGTGATTATAAATGGAAAAACCTGATTAACTTCTCATCTCCCAACTAGCTTTTGAAATGAGCTCCTAAGAAACAAATAACTCACTATATAATTTCACTGTCTTTTTCTCTTTTACTTAAAATTTTAGTGTGGATAGAAGCAACCAAATAACAGTTAATGATTACATTAATTATGTCACAATAAAATGTTTTTAAATGAACTAGAATAGGAGAGAGTAAAAAACTGTATTTTAAAACAAATTGTATTTAAATATAATATTTAGTATTAACTTTGTTTCTACTTCATTATCCATAATATAGATATTGTTTTACAAATAAATACATATATACACATACAGATACAGATAGGGGTGTGTGTCATGTGTGTGCCCTGGGTTACCTTTTAGGAAACATTTCTTACACAAACATTTAAGAAACATACTTTTAATGTGCATGATATCTTTTATTAATATAGTGATAATGAGAGAGAAATTTTTAGTTTATATTTGGTGGAGGAATTTTAATTTTATTCTGTTTCAGAGCCACAGACAACCATATGCTTTGGCCAGCTTTCTCACAAATGTTGGCTCTTGGGAGTAAGAGAAAAATTAATTCAGAATACCTGAATTATTAATAATGAGACAGAAAGGGTAATGTTTATATAGTTTTAATGTCAAATTAATTAGGAATGATAATTCATAATCAAAGCAGTATATGCTCATTGTGATTTTATAGAGAAGTAAAATTTCTCCTTGTCCTGTCATTCATAAGGAACTGCTGATTACACTTTGATGTTTTTCTTTCTTGTCTTTTTTATATGCATTTTTCTAAACTTTGAGCTCATACTGTATTTGTGATCAAATATTCTTGCTGCTTCACTTAAAATAATGACAAAAGCATTTCCCATCACATTCTCTTTTCTAAAGGGTTTTATTCATAGAATAATAATGACAACTACAGTTCTCCAGGAAAAAGTATGTTGTGTTGACTAGTAAGTGTTTTTAGTGAATAATAAAATGACTGTTTTTTGTTTGTTTTTGTTTTGTTTTGAGATAAGGCAATTCTGCTAAGCAAAATAGGAATAAAAATTGTAGGAAAACAAAGGAAATGATGCTCTCTGGTTCTAAGAATTTGATATGCCATAATCTAAACTGTGTCGTGTGTGTGTCCTTCCCATCCCGTCCTCCGTCCCTGTCCCCCACCCCCACTCAGTCAAGGTCGAGGAGGCTGTGGTTGAGAATCATGCAGTAGTAAGTTCTGCTGTGGAGGGAGAAGCAGCTACATATCTGGGTCCAACTGTGAAGCCAGATAATAAGGTTAGTAATATCTTAATGTGTACTACGTTGTTAGAGTTGTTAGAGCTATTTGGCTTCACTTTGTCTTTAGTTTACAGAAATCGTGAACTATTAAAGTCTGTGTTCTCTGAGATCTGCTCTTACTGAAGTGGATCAATGATGAAAATAGCCAAATCTGAGCATCAGAAGACCTTTCAGTCTACCTGATGCATGATCTCTGTAGTTCTGAGAAGCAAAAGTATAGAGTAATTTAAAACAATAAGGGCTTGTGTGTGTGTGTATATATGTGTGTGTGTGTGTATGTTTGTGTTTATAAAGGTGACAGTGGATAACTGAGGACTTGTTGATGGATGAATGAGATTGGCAGGGAGTAACGTGTGTGTATGAAAGGCTAATCAGTTCTGAGCAATGATGAAAAAAGGTTTTTACCACTGACCTTTATAACTATGAAGGTTTCTACACTTGATCTGAGCTCAGAATTGATAACTGCTTATTTTGGTGATTTGGGCTTTCTTGGTATTACTTCCTGTATTGTGGTCTCATGTTCTCCTTAATTTTTAGGCTGAAACAAAAGAGATTTATCATGAGCCATTATCTTCAATAAGTATTTCTACTGGGAGCTTTTCAAGTTATGACAACACAGATTTGAGCCTTACAAATCCAGGTAATAATGTCAAAATGTTAATAAATAAATTGAAAGACCAGCACCAGTTGAGTTGCAATACAGTGGTGAGAGCAAACAGTGCTTTTCACAGTGTGCTGAGCAGGATTGTTTCTTTAAATCTCAAAAGTAAAGTATTCATGCCTGATAGAATATTGGACACTATGATGTTCTAAACATGATAGGAAGTCACAGGCCTGCACACCCTCTGTGGATCCCCAACAACACTGAGAAGTATCCACTAATGTCACATTTCCCATTCAGTGGGACTCTATCTGAGCAAATTTCTTGGTTGCACTGATCCCATATCAATGTATATTGCTATGCCTTTTAACCAAAATTTGTCTCTAAGGAAGTACCCAGCCATTAAATATTTTCATTAAACTGAATTTTCAGAGTCATTTTCAGAGCATGTGGACCAGAGACGACAAGAATCTATCACCAGTAAAGAAAAGGAGACAAATATTTTAAGTTCTATACTTCCTTCATCACAACTTATTTATCAAAGGCAGGACTCTTGGGGATATTCATAAACTTCTGTAACCTGCAGTAGAAAGATTTACAACTGGCCAAACACACATTCAGCAGGTGATAGAGAAGTATATAAATGAAGCAAATTTGATGAGTGAAAAAACAGAGTTGTGGGGTAAAATTATTTTGAACAAATACTTTCATATAAACTAAATGTTTTCAACGTGTGGCTTTTTAGTTTTTTTATCCTTTTTGTAATGACTGTTTGAGCTTCATGTTTTTATGGCCTGCTGCAGCACAGTTATGACGTGGAAAACATTGAAGGCATTTAGTGAGAGAGGGGATCTGGAACTGACTAAAGAACATGTAAGAGATTAGCATAACTTCCTTTACTATCGCAAAAATAACAGCTTGAGGCAGTATTGCCAATATTGAGAATAAAAGCTCAGAAGTCAGACAGACCTGGATTCAAGCCCTAGTTTGACAGTTTTACTAGCTGTGAGACCATGGGCAAGTTACTTACTCTTTCATCTTCTATACAAGAGGGATGTTGGAGATTAACTGAGATATTGCACGTAAAGTACAATGCCTGGCCCATACCAACTCTCAGTACAGTGAGCTTTTCTTTTTTTAATCATTGATCCTAAAATGAGCTAAGTGAGAATAACAAACCTTATAGCAAAGCAGTGTTCCTAATAGCCTCTTACTCCCAATTAACCTCATTGGACTTTTGGCCTGTTAGAAATGGAAACATATTTGTCAAGGTTTTGATCATTAAGAGTATCCTTATTTTTTTTGTACATCAGAAATAATGATAGGAGTTAATTTGAAAGCAGCTGCTGGTAATGAAAAAACTGAAGTAATCTCGTTGAATTGGAGTTTCCTAAAAATAAACTTTTACAAATATGTTCTTAATACTACTTTTCTATGCTTTATTTTTTTTTCTTTTTCTTTTTTCTTGTGAGGAAGATTGGCCCTGAACTAACAGCTGTGCCAGTCTTCCCCTATTTTGTATGTGGGATGCCACCACAGCATGGCTTGATGAGCAGTGTGTAAGTCCGCACCCGGGATCTGAACCCACAAACCCCAGGCCACTGCCGAAGTGGCAGTGCGAACTTAACCACTACACCACTGGGCTGGCCTCTAGGTTTTATTTTTAAAATAAATTTAGCTTTTTTTCTCAAAATTCCAACAGTTGACCTCGACTTTCCAGAACTGGAACACACTTTTCCAAATTTGCATCATCAGCTGTTTAAACCCTTAGAACCACATCCAGATTTTGATTTGTCATCATCCTCTGGGATTTCTCAAGACAGCAGAGACTTTTACCAGGTATATTAAAGTAGATGTTTCATTGCAGTGAATTTCCAAGAACAGTTTGTCTTTTCTTCTGTTGGAATAATAGTTCCTTATAGTGGCTGCCAATTAGAATCCATTTGGAGAGCTTAAAGATTCCATTGCCCAGACTACACTCCGACCAGTTAAGTTAGAATCTCTGGGAGTGCTCAGACACCAGGATTTCTTTTTTAAGTTCCCCCAGGTGATTCTGATTTGGAACCAAGATTGAAAACAGCTGCATTAGAATTTTGTCCTGTTAGCCTTATCTCCAGCTAATGAGTGTAACCCATAAAAGGCTTGAGAATATTTTTATTGCTACTTTTTAGTATTTTGTTTTTTTAATGGAATTCAGCCTTAAACAGTTCAAGTAAATAGAATTTTGCAAGTCAAAGTCTCTCTCTTCCTATACAGTATGTACAGGAGCTAAGATTCAAACCTGGGACTTTCTGCTCCCACAGGCTGACATCCTGATATTCCAGGCTGCTCTCCATAGTTTCTGCTTATCAGAAAATGATGTTATCATGTTCTAAACTCTAACTGGTTAATTCGCAATTTCTTTTCTAAATCTTTTTTAAAAAGTTATTTTCATATTAACTGAAATGGAAGAATTGGGTTTGAATAGCAAATTATTAATGGGATAGTAAAGTAGTAATTAAGGAAGAGTAATCTCAAAGGAACATGATTATTGATTCAACCAGTAATCCATAATCAGTTTTTCAGCCTTTCCCTATTATTTTCCATCAGAGCTCAGATTCTTTGTGTGGAAGCCACCCTGCTACTGTATCACCCAAAAGTATACCTTTTATGGCACTGAGGAGGCCCAGCCTACATTCTTCTCTTAACCCAGGCCTCAACCAGCACCCTGACACTAACTTGGCTCTCGCTGCAGCTCCGAGTTTTGCTACAGAAGATATTGAGGGTATGTATGATTAAGTTAGAAAAACTTAATTAAAATCCATTACTTTTTTTCATGGTTGTTTACATCCATTTTCCTTGGAAATTGTGCTTAACAGCTCTTGATTTGTCTCCACTCCTGTTCTTACCCCTGTCCCCAGCATTAGAAGTGCTATTTCTTTGTGTATTTATTTAAGTAACAGAAGTAATACGTACTCAGTTTGCATTTTTACGGTACTGAACTTGATAAAATAAAAAGCAAAAGTGCTGCATCTTGCTCCACTTCCCTACCTCAGCCCTACAGTTAGCAGTTTAAGTATCCTTCTAAAACTTTTGTACAAATTTTATATATATATATATATATGTACACACACATACATATATACCTATATGAGATATACATGCACATTTAGTCTAAGTCCTGTTAAAATCAATATTCTGTTCTCTTACGGGGGGGATGTTCTCATCGTGTCTAACAGCCATATTTTCTTTATTAAATCATATTAGGAGAAAATACATAGTGTGAGCAGCAAAGTTACTTGAAAATCAGGACGATCCTTTAGCTTTCTATTCATGTTTACATACATCACTTTCACTCCTGAATTGTAGGAAGTAACCTGACTTTATTATTTGCAACTTACTCAGAGACTATTAGAGACTGTATGTGTATCGAAGTTTTACAACGTATAATTATGATGAACTGATTTCTTACAGGATGTGAACAATCTTTTCAACAGCTTCTGCCAGAATTTTCTTCACAGGAGGGGAGCCAGCATGCTGATCTACCAAGTATTTTTAGCATTGAAGCAAGAGATTCTTCCCAAGGCATGGAAAATCAGAACTGCTCTTCTGAACAGACTGAAATATTACAAAATAAGAAAAAAAGTGTTCATTTCCAGCTCTCAGTAGAAAATTTGCAAAGTTCAGTCTTCAGTTCATCTGATGAAGCTAATGTATTTCATCAGTTAAGTGTACAGCATAGCACTCCATGTGGTTCTACCTCTAGTGAGTGCTCACTACAAGACCAACTCGAAGGCAGAGGACAGGGCTTTGAAGAAGTAGCAGAAAGGGGGGTTGATACAATGTTACCAAGTCAAGGAATAACTGAAGATGATAAAAATGAAACCTGTGGGATTTTAAATATAAATCCAAATGTAGAGGAAATTGACTCTCAATTATGTGTAAGAACAGTGGAGATGGGAACTTCAATTCAGACACCATATTCATTATCTGTTCAGAATGAAAAATATTTTGAGAATTCAACTAAAGCAGACACTCCAGAAATCATAAGAAACCTTTCTCAACTAACACAATCAGAGTTCTCTGTAAGTTCTGGATCATTTTCATTACAGAGCTCTATTCCAGTATGGGTAAGTGAAGTCTGTGTTGTCTAAGTAACATTTAGATTCATTTTCAGGAGACTTTTGAAACAATTGAAGGGAAGCAACAAAGCTACTTGTTAAAAGTTCCTGTTTGAGATGGTCAATCTCGTAATCATTGGACGTCTCCAATGAAATGAGCTAACTCCATATTTTAAGCTGACCTGTGAATTGTACAAAAGATCTTTCCTCCCATCTGGCATTGCCCTTCTCCAGCTTCCCTTTGGAATGGTGGCTCTGCCTGTGCTTTAGTACTTAACTGTTGATCCACATTTCACTGCATTGGATTAATCTGCTTGGTTTGAACTCCAGTGACCTGAATATGGTTTTTACCTTCTAGTATTGTTTATCCTTCTACAGATAAACCTTTAAAAAGAGATTGACATAAGGGCAACATCTAGACCACAGATCTGTTTTATTTGGTTGCTTTTAGATTTTTTTTGGTGAATTCTTGTTCAGTGTTTAAAACTAAAGATATTTCCCTTAAAAAATGTAGTCTGGCAGCAGTAGCCTACATTTGGCTGCAGCACAATAGCTCCTGCAGCCTTTAGCCAGGATACACCATGGGTTCTGCACAGCTCTCAGTCAACGGACGTTTCTATTATCTGCCTAGTTTTCCTTGCAGTAGATACTTTGAGACAATTATCCCATTATCTCTCCCATCCCCAAAGTCCTGTCAGTACTTCTAAAAGTGGGTTGGAGATGGAGGCAGCACCACCTTGGTCTTCACCAACTGTTGTTCTTCCTCCATAATGTACATTATTCTCACGTTTTGAATGTTATAAGGCTATTATTTTTGGACATGGTTTCCTTTTTAATTTTACTATGCAGGAGACAGAGTCTGGCCATGGCATAATGGAAGAACCAGAACTTACATTAGTAAGCACCAGTGATATCAGTATTGCTGAAATGGATTTTGCAAATTTAAGCCTGGAAGAAAAGAGAGAGAATGAGGCAAAAAGCTGTTTTCAGGTAAATTTCATAGGTCTCATTAACATAAACACACCTCAGTTAAATAGCAACCGATAGCTATTTATGAGAATTAGGGAACAGAAAAAGATAGTTTTTTTCACTTATCTTTCCACATGGCATTGTTTTCCTTACATTAGAATTGTTTGCAAACTAATTTCCTTCCCCTATATTAGATGTAAATGCAGTAAACTACATAGTGAGCAGCTTACTGTGCTCACACTAGACATTGAGGGCTGACAAGAAAAGCCTCTCAAACCTCCCTGATGGCCTTGTTTTATACCCTAATAGTCCTAAATACATATTATTTATAATGCTCTTGATTTCACTAAGACTTGGGTTGGTACTCATGCCTTCCATTCCCCAATGAAAGAAATACTTTATTCCAAAAAATTTACATGGGAGGCAGCAGAGGAGCTCTTGAAAGGTAGGTAAGGAAATTCAGATCTGAGGTGGATACAGAGCAAGTGCTATTGCTTTGGATGGAAGTTTATTTTGCACTTTTCAGTCAAGTTGCTGCCATGTTCCTTCTACATTTTTCCACTAAACTATTCCTGCCTGGCTCACAATTTAAAATCTTATAAGGTAATCATTGAAGGGAGTTCTGCCATGAATTTAATCCTAATTTAGTAAGAACTTTAATAGATGAATTCATTGATTTTAACAACACTGCAATTGAAACTTTGAGACAAATGCAGGTCACCCTCACCAGCTGTTTGATTTAATTGCATTTTGTCTTCAATCCCCACAACTTTGCAGATTAGTCCCAGATACTACATTTGTACATTGTGCTACACAGTACTATGGCAGGACCAATTGGCCTGATGCCATTGGAACGGAATTCACCTAAGACTATTCCAAGATGTTTAGAAATGGTTCTACACCAGAACTAGTAATTCTTTTTATGATTACTGACAAAGATAGTGAAGACACAAAACACACAAGTAGTAAAAATGCAGTAGAGGTGGTAGCGAAGAAAAAAGTTTCTTAATTACCAGACTTGACAGGACTCAGGTGAGGAAAAGCTTTTTGGCTAGCGTAGGAGGACAGGAAAGCAGGCTGGTTCTCTAGTAGTCAGTCAGATAAAGCATTTTAATAGGAATAAAACCATTCTAAAATCTTCCCCTTGCCAGAAAACTCAGTCCTAGTTACTGAGACATCAGGGCAGCACAAAGCAGTGAACTAGTTGAGAATGGAAGCCAAGTCAACTGGACATAGATCCCTGTATTGCAACTGGGGCCTGAGTAGTCACTCCCAAAGGGAACCAGGGTTTAGAACCTTAGCAGTAAGTCTGTACAATGAGGTGAAACATGGTAAATTCATCTGACTTTCTTGCAATTAGGTGAGTGAATTTCTGCCTCTTGTATCAGAAACATCAGAACATTCTGTGGACAAGCCAACAACAGTGTCAGCAGGTATGCCTTAACCATCTGAAAAGGTCTGAACCCAGGCACAGTGGGACTTCCCTACTCAAGTTCTCAACCTCCACATTTCTAGGAGGGAAGGAGGAACCCCATAATCTTCACATTAAACATTAAAAAGTTCAATGACATGAAAAAAGAGCTTTTGTGCTTTTTTTAACAGAAACCCTCCCAAAGTTTCCACTTATACCAGGCAGCTTGCAAGAAGCATTTGTAAAACGAAAAAAATCATTTATAGAGCGATCCTCACAGCGACAGAAAGAAATAAAAAATAAAATCCATGTCTCTGAGAATTCTCAAAGCAAAACAGTTAAGGAGAAATCTACAGGTATGTTCCTCACATTTGTGTTTTCACAAAGAGAATCTGGCATTATGTATTTAATCAAATCACTTGTTCTCTGCTCAGGCTCATCTGTGAATTGCCTAAAGGGGGTGAATAAAGTCAGAGTGTCTCTTCCTGAAGATAGAAAGACTGCACAAGCCCTCATGCACCAAAGGGCTTTAAGGTACACACATATATGTATGTATATATGAATAGTAATGCAAATTTAGGAAGTGTTTTATTCCATATAAATTTCTTACAGATTATACAATCAGTTAGCTGAAGTGAAACAGCGAAAGGAAGAAAAAGCAAAGCAAGATGCTTATGCCCAGAACAGAGCAAGGGCAAAAGAATTTCATAAGGTGAGCAGGGCCCACTACAATTTTTCATGTCTAAGGTACACTACAACTATAACTGCTCAATTTTATTTCTCTTCCTTCCACAGAAAACACTAGAGAAACTTCGAGCCAAAAGTTCAACATGCTGACTTTCTACAAAAAGCATAAAGGGTTTTTTTTTTAATTAAATGTAATAGGCAAAATTATTCCAGTCAATAAATTTTTATTTAAGTAATTTCATGTTGTGATTCCTTCCATTCCTCCAAAGTTTGAGTCATATCTTCAAGACAGCCCTGTAGAAGAGAGTAGGCAGTGGTTAAACTTCAGGGACCCATCACGGATGTATCTCCTCAGGAAAACATAGCACTACTGAGTGACTATTATATCCTATGGAGAACTTCAATCTTTGGTCACAGCGTTAAGAGCTCCTGGTTTTGGTCCCACAAGCCCTCTTTGAGATGACCTACAAATTATCTTTTTCTAATATGTACATACCTTTTAAAAAATTTTGCTCAATCCATGGTTGTCATGTCAGTCAATTCTATAAGAGAATATAAACAGTAAGGTTCCATTTCCAGAGATACTCAAGTAAATTCTGAAACCAGCCCTCCCTGTTAGTTCTATTACATTAGAAGCTGCCTGGTTTCTAGGAACTCAGAAAGATTAACCAGGCAAAAGATAGTTGCCAACACTCGAGAGATCCAGGCATGCACTGAACAACCGCCACTAGGCATGAATGGTGAGAATTTGAAAAATGACTGTCATCCAGTCTCATTCATTACCTTTGGCTATTAGATGGTGTTGTATTTATATTGGACAGTGCTGATCTAAGCAATGGAAATAAAACAAGGTTAACAAAATGTTCCCAATAGGCTGCAATGCTAGCAAGGTAGCAGGAGAAAAAGCCCAGTGGGAAATTTTTTTTCTGGTCATGTCCACAGCAAATGAGAAACTGCATTCTAAAAGCCTTGGTAATGACCATTATCCCTGACAAATAACATGCTGTGAAGATAAAAAACTAACTTGCCACAATTCTTTCAGTTGGGATTCTTTGATCTCCACTTGAATATGGACATACTTTAAAAATTCTCCACCTGCGGAAAAAGTTTGTAAAGTTTACATTGGAATACATTTTTCAAAATGAGGTTGATTAGGTTCCAAAGTATCCTGAAACCCAGTTTCCAACAAGTATGTATTAAAAACTCCAGGTTTAAAATTGCAAACAGTTGCCATAAACATCTTCTAAATCCAGTTCATTTAAACGAAATGTTGGGAACAAATATATGTTCAAATCAAGACAGATTTTAACCCATTTCCATTCACACCTGAACGTATTTGAAAAATGTGCTGATTAGCAACTCCAATGGTAGCTATGTGGAAACATGCATGTGTCCAGCTAACTTTCACCTTAGAGCTTTAATGTTTTAAAATATAGCACATATTTAATGTAGATGCATGTTCAGAAAGGCTATTTTCATTCAGCCCATTCAGAGCAGTTGAACATTTTGCCCATCATCATAACAACATACATCATTGGTAAGCAATATACACAACACAGTGTCCTTTTTAACATCTATATTTTTTTTCATTTTCTCCTAAGTGGTGATAGTAACCAGGATTATCAGCTATAAGAAGTAAAGAAGTTAAAGTCTCCTATAAAATAAGGAATAAATTAAAATCTTACCTCTAATCTTTAGGATCCAATTTCTTCAACCAATTTACTTTAGGGCCCTAGGAGTTAAATTGTAGGAAGTTCATTCCTATTTTACCAAATGATCTAATATATATATATATATTTTTTTTTTTTTTTGTAAGATTGGCACCTGAGCTAACAACTGTGGCCAATTTTTTTTTCCTGCTTTTTCTCCCCAAAGCCCCCTTGTACATAGTTGTGTATTTTAGTTGTGGGTCCTTCTAGTTTTGTTATGTGGGACGTGGCCTCAGCATGACCTGATGAGTGGTGCCATGTCCGTTCCCAGGATCCGAACCAGCGAGACCCTGGGCTGTCAAGGCAGAGTGCACAAACTTAACCACACAGCCACAGGGCCAGCCCCTAAGAGATGATTCCTTAATCATTTCTAATATTGATAAGTCTTGTTACATCCAATTTTTACTCATTAGCCTAGCAAATAATGTTACAGGTCTCATTGTCACCACTGTAATACACGTACTGTGATGGAAGCATAACCTGTGTCTCAATATAGCCACATTAACAATTTCTGGACACCATGAATAAGAGTGCCCATTTTCATCTAAAATGAGGCCTCATAAAAGTTTCTCTCAAGTTTACATATACACTATACAAAAGGTTTTTGCATCTTCCTAGAAGTTCTCTTTTGCTGACCATGCTCTCAATAAACAGGAGGCTAATAGAAACAACAGAAATACAAAGCCTTACATGTTTAGGATCAGAGTCCATGGATGACTGGTTCTCCATGTCACACACCCTAGAAAAAAGAGAAGCATTAGTTCCTACTCAAGATTAGGTCCAACTAACAGTATGAGAAACTACAGAAATACTGTATCAATAAAAATACCAGGTTTAACATGCACGAAGCAAAGAAAACCAACGATGCCAGATACTGAATTTATGTCGCACTGTCCTTTGAACACCCAGCAGGAATACACTGCTGAATGCAGATACCATGCAGTGCAATCAGGACTGAACTGCTATAAACTTATGTTTACTAATTTCTAAAACTTGAAGTTCCTATTACAGGTAAAATAATTTCACCTTTATTCCTAATTATCATTTCAATAAGGCAACTACATTAACTGCATTTTAAACTATAAACCTAGTTGTCCTGATCTTTGCCCTCTGTTTATATACACTTACAGATGTAATTAAGTCAAATCACTAAAACAAACACCACACCAGACATAAGGATCATGATTGCTCTTATGGGCAGAATTTCTTATAAAAAATTCACAATCCCTATTCTAACATATCCAAGTATACAGGTTATTAGGATGAACCATATGGATTTGTCAGATTAGTAAAAGGGTGCAAAAAAGTAGGCATTTCATCTGGAAGCCCTAGACAGGCACTCTCCTTTTTCCCCAATTCTATATATAAATACAAATATGGCAAATATTTTGGCCAACATCTTAATAATTGTTTTGTACCTAAATAACTACTAGTCACAACAGTAATGGAGTGCTGTAGTCATAATTTACATTTTTTCAGCACTTTTGAATCCTTAATAAATTTCAATAGAAATCAATTATTCTACTTACCTCTACACATGAGTAAGTTCAAATCATATTCACTCCTACAGATAAAATGACAAATAAAAGATTAAGGACAACTTAAATGTGTGATTAAAAGCTAACACCTATACAGAGCTGAATACAGCTCTGTCAGAATTAAGTTTTAGTTCATGTCTGTATCATTCAGCAGTTGAACAGTTAAAATTCATCATATGAACTGTAATGGTACCAAGATTAACTGTCACCAATTTAAACTTACCTAAGCTGTCTCACCCTAGAACAGTATAGACCTTGGGATAGGCCAATACCTAGGATAAAAAAAATTGACTATTACGTCTTTCATACTTTTAGCAGCTGTCTTGTAGTTCTTTCCCACAGATCTAACACACAGTTCTGTGAGTAAAGGAAACCACATAATTACTCTATGAGGCGTTTCCAACGATGTGGGTCTACAGAAAAAGCCCCATCGGGATAGACCTCAACCACTATTTACACCTTTTAAAAAATATAAATAAACAAAAGTCTAAATTTTCAATTATTACCAGAACTGTAATTTGCTCTAGCCTTTTGGATGAATTCAAAATTGCATAAAAACAAACATCCATTTAAAAGAGATTTAAAGAAATCATCCCATAAATTAATCACTTGGTAATGACTTTAACAATGCTGCTTAGGAACAGCTGAGTATATACTGATGAAAATATGCCAACTACCTACTACAGATGATCCAAAGGAAAAAATTTACCTGTATAAACTGAAGTCTCGATTTTTATGAACTTCAACACTGCAATGTTTTACCTTTGAAATTCCCAGATTACAGCGAAATTTTTACTTCAGCTGAACTTTTGCTTCAATTTAATAACTATATAAAATATTTTCTCATTTGGTATCAGTTATAAAAACCAAGAAAAATATTAATGTGGCTATATTTGGAAATAAGTAGAAGACAAACATATTGGGTGCTTTTTAATGAAACTTTATCATTGAGGTTTATGAAATCTTGTATCCTAGCATTACACTATTGTATCTTCTACCTCGTTAGATTATGCATTAATTAAAAATAATGTTGTATATGCTTCAAGTGGCAGCAATATCCAAGATTCTGATTATTGCTATAGCCTAAGATTGTTTGGGGACCCTTTACTCCAAAAGGGAAGATGGCACAATATCACTATAAAATGTGTGAATCCTAAGATTCATTTTCTGAAATGACATCATAAACAGAAATTAAAAGTTGGCAAAAATGTCTTTCAATAATGAGACCTGTGGACATTTAAATTACGTGACAACATACTACACTTCAACAAATCAGATACAAAAACTCACCTAAAGCATAAGACATACCTTAAGTCCAGACATTGTGTTCTCAAAATAAAAGCCTAATAAAAAAAAGGAAGCCATCTTTCATGTCAACATCAAAAACCAATAGGGCCAAGATTCCCCTTATATGCTATTTTAATTATCAATTCTATAGCCTGGAAGCAACCTTTGTTTATCAATACCCCACCCTCATCACTTTATTCTGCTTTAGATACAATGTTCCTTCTTATCTGTATCAAAACTCATACTGAACAATGAGCTCTGGGTTGCAAAAGAGGTTTTATTTTCTGCACCTGTCTCTAAGTCTTTGTCCACAAATTAAACAAAAACAAACACAAGTGCTATCATAAAATGCAGTATATATAGTAGCATAATTGACAAAATACAATAGTGAAGAAAATGGTAGTCGAAATATCCTAGGTAGTTAGGAAGGGAAAATTAGTAAGTTCTTACTACAGTATTAAACATTTGATACTAAAGGTCACTTGTCTGAATAAAACTGGGATAAAAATGGGGGGTTTCACGTACCCTAAAGAGGGTGGTTGGTTATGAATCAGTGTTTATTATAACTAACATTTCACTTTTAGGATTACAATCTCTGTACTACTTTGATCCAGTGCTCAATTGATGCCTGTAAGCTCTCTTACCCTGAAATAAACAAGTATAGGCAAAAAAAGTAGTATCTTCTCATTACTTCTTATTCTTTAGGAGTTTCTTTCAAATTTGTTCAAGTTCTTTTTATTTTCTCCTTGAAAGGTTCTTTTTCATCACAAGGATGGCGCACGCGCATGTGTATACGTATATATACATTCATCATCTTTACTTTCTCCAAATGTTCCTTTTTCTCAATTCTGCTTACCATGACATTTATATACCTATTTTCTTTTCAGGCCATTCTGTCCAATGTTTTTGGACTTTGATGCCCTCTTTTTAGACAAAGCATCTTCTCCAGTATATTCCTCTTGTTCTAAATATACACTCATCTTCTTTGGTAATTCAGAACTTATTATGAAACAACTGTCCTCCTGCATAAGAAATATAAATATTAAGCAATAAGTAAAACTTTATTGCTTTAGTAATTATACATAACTGAGCTCTAGGTTATTTCAAATAACATGGAGACTACATCGAGATGTTACAAATCCAAATTAAGTTCTGCTTATTTTCTCATTGGATATACCAGTAGCAATACCACATCTTACCTTACTTAACAATAGTATTGAAAAGTCCGTGTTCTCAACTATCCAAAAGTTCATTTTTATTTTTTCATTTCCTGTACCAAATGCATGGAGTCTTTCAAAAGTTAAATACAGTCTAAGAGTAACTTTTGGATAAAATTCTTCCTGTACCAACTGCTGCTGTGCCTACATGAAATGGGATAAAAATGTCACTTACCACCAATTTGATATCACACTCATCATCATGTTCAAGATTTGCTGCAACCTCATCCTCTGCTCTGTAATAGTAAAATGTATCACTCAGATGACAGAATCTTCTAGAACCCAATTAGTAGTATACTGTCATGATATACAATTCAAACAGTAATACTAGTCAAGGAGAAAAATTATGTTATTTCTAACACCCCAAAATGGGTATCTCATGTGCCAAGCTTGTAGCTCAACTGTAAATAACCCACATGGCCTACTATATCTTTGCTCCTCACTATTAAAGTATAAACAAATCAAAAGCATAATACGGAGCACTTAACATTAACTTTAAAAATTTGCTAAAACATGATCAAAATTATTTCACAATTAAACTTACGCCAACTCTTCAATAGGAGAGAGAGATCCATCGTCATCCAAGTATTTATATCTACGACTATCAAGGTCATCTTTTTCTAAATCTTCACCAACATTCATTTGTTTCAAGGATTCCTTGAGGTGGTACTCATACTTCAGTTTTTCAAGGTAGTTGAAAAATCCTCTTGCGACTGCTTGCTGTATGTAAAAAACACCAAGACATGGCCTTACAAAATAAATTTTCTCACTCAGCAGATGCCCATATTCCAAAAGGGCAAGGATTCCCTTACCAAGAAGGCTTAGTGATACTGATTTAACTACTCTGCCACATGCAGAACACACATAATTTATCAAACGCTGGTTGTAAAAAGAATTCACTCTTCTACCTAGCAAGTTAATCAAACCTCCCTAATTAGTACCAAGGAAAATTGAAGCATAAATCTTGTATTATTTGGGAATTGCTAAAGACATTTTTAAATGCAAAAAACCAAATTTCTGACGTTTATTATCATCAACTTAAAACATAAAAGGTTAACGAGTAGTAACCCTTTCAAATAAATCAGATTCTAGAGCAAGGGATTGTAAATTCTGCGAACATTTAACTCAGATATTTGAGTCTACTACTAAGCATTAAGGCGTTTATCAGGCAAATCTGTCAGGAACTGAATATTCAACATCTGTAAGAAAATGAAGTCTATTTTTAAGTCACTTAACACGAAAGGCAGGTATGGGTTTGTCTTAGGTGACTGTAAAACATGTGAGAATCGTTTGAGTTTTAGGGATGTTGTGTAAAGACCTGATAGGATAAAATCAAGGGACTTGATAGACTCTGCCTTGGAGCACTTCATATATAGGCACGGTCCCTGAATATACACTAGTGAATGAAGATTCCACCCAGAAGCCCAAGTGAAGTTTGAGCTGAAGGACTGGATGGTCTTTAAGTGGTAAGTATGGAAGAGTATTATCAAAAGTTGCAGACTATATATTCCAGGCACATCTAAATTCTCAAGGTGACCAACAATTCACTTCGCACATTTTAGCTTTAAGTATCAGCAAATATAAAATACTGACTCACCTCAAAGGTTAAAATTTTTCTCCAAGGTAATGGTCTTCTTCCATTCTTTGATTCTAAAAATGGGAACCCAGGTCCTCTGTCTCTAATATGTTTCTTAGTTATTTGCGAGCATCTCGTGCTTCTCCTTCCTTTTGGTCTTCCCCTTGGTCTTCCTGTTGGCTTATATTTCCTCTTCTTACGTTTCTTTTTTTTGAATCTTTCAAAAATAGCTTTTAAAGTCAGTGGTCTTGGTTCAAAAGATGAGTCACTAGATGAATCTCTTGCTTGAACACTTTCAGGCGAATGAACAAATTTTCTAATAGAGTTTCTTTGCCTCCGTTTAGGTGAGTAAGGAACACACTGAGTTTTAAATAAGCTGCTACCCGAGGAAGAGTTATCACTAGAAAAAGGGGAGATAAATTACATCCTTTTACATTACTGAATGCTTATTATCAGCAGAGTACTTTTCTTCCAGCCCCAAAACACACTCAGGATAATTCTGAGAGATGGGCTCAGTCCCAGCCAACCACATAGTTCTGACCACTCTAGTAAAATGGCACATGCCACAGCACTTAAAAAAACTTCTGAGAGAAATACAAGTTCCACAAAGGCAGTCTTGTTCACTGCTAGAGCCTCCTCTAAATAAAACAAGAGTGGCCTAATAGCTACTTCCTGTGAATACACTAGAAACGCTGATTTTGATTTCCCAGTGAAATCAATAGGTGAGGTAAGTGGACATCTCCGTCACATACATAAAGCCAGCATCCTTCATAAGGCAGAACATCAGAACAAGTTGATTTTTAAGCAAGATTCCCCAGTGATGTCCATTTTCTTGTAATAAAACTAAGATAATTTAGTTAGGAAGAGATGTCAAATTGGCCGACCTAGAGAATATACTTCTGTTCCCCTGGGTTAAGAATGTGTCCCACTGTTAACCATATAACTTTCAAGGTCTGTGGACACCAGGTTTTCCCTTTCTTTCCTATTTCTTGAAAATTATATTTACCGCCACTCATTATCTACAATGGTTTATGCTTTCCCAGTTAATTCAAATACAGTAAACATTATCATCGATTCTGTTTTCCAGTATAAATCTGGTGGTGGTGATGGTGAACACAAGAAAACGCACCTACCTTTGATTTTCAATTTGCACAGCTGAATCAGATGCTGTTGCATAGTCAAGAGAATCCATTCCAGATACGTATTCTCCAAGTCCTTCTGAAAACTGTTTTATTCGTCACTGGTTCTTTGCTTTTAACAGAATTGACGATATAAATTTGTCAATGTGGTAGTTTCCCTGAACATATGAATGCCAACACAAACAGCTAGTATCCAAGTAACGCAAAGTTCCAGGTAGTCAGATTGTGCCAATATATGTAAATTAAGGCAAAATCATATACAAAGCCTTTAACACGTTCATGTAGGAACTGTATCCAAGTAACGCAAAGTTCCAGGTAGTCAGATTGTGCCAATATATGTAAATTAAGGCAAAATCATATACAAAGCCTTTAACACGTTCATGTAGGAACTGTATCCAAGTAACGCAAAGTTCCAGGTAGTCAGATTGTGCCAATATATGTAAATTAAGGCAAAATCATATACAAAGCCTTTAACACGTTCATGTAGGAACTGTCCATTTCAGATCAAATTCTAAAACCTAAAACTTTTATTCACCAGTTCACTTTCTGACTTGTGCCTCCTAAATCTATCCAACGGAACAAGAGTCCAGAAAAGCAGTGTCATTTCCAAAGAAAGTATCCGTTTTTCCGTAACAGTAAGAAACATAATTTTGTCATTAGCCATATAGTAATGTACAATTATGAGTATTATTGTACAATTAGTGGCCAAAATACAATTTCCCAAGAGCAGATAGGAACTCGGAAGAAAAATTTTTACACAGCCAGAAGGTAGACTGTGGCCCCAGTATACCAGGAAAAATCATCATCACGATTTATCATCTCAATCCAACAGGCCACTTTAAACTCCTGGTCTGGGATTTTCATTTATGGCCTCTTCCCATTCTTCCTGTGATTCATCAAAGTCACTGTGAAACTTCGTCCTCGGCATATTATCTCCATATTACCCCTTTACCACTATGCGTAGTAATTTAAAAGTTCTGAATTCTCAAACTTCTGAATGAAAGGCTAACAGACTACAACAGTGGTGCCCTTTGTGTTCCTTTCTATCTCCTTCGAAAATTTTACAATATCTTGAGCAAAATAGAAAAAAGACGATGCCTCATTTTACTACTGCATCTCCCTTATAGGGGAAGCTATCCTTCTTCCATTTTCCACTTTTCTTCGTCTTTAGCATACTTGAGAATGACAAATGAGTAAAGAAGAAAGGAGTCCTAGGATAAAATACCAAATATTTCAAATATAGGACATCAGTAAGGTCATACAGATCTTAGACTTGCAAACCGTCCAACGGGCTCGCGGTAATTTCACGGTGTTTTATTGCAGTTTTTTAAAATACAAAATCTAAGAAATAAGTCATGAAAAAACTGCTCACAAACGAAATTCAACAAAAATTGGGTCCAATGGCACTGACGGTATACCTAAGGTTAAATATTAAATATCAAAACATTGTCAAAATAGGGGCTGGCCCCGTGGCCGAGTGGTTAAGTTCGCGCGCTCCGCTGCAGGCGGCCCAGTGTTTCGTCAGTTCGAATCCTGGGCGCGGACATGGCACTGCTCGTCAGACCACGCTGAGGCAGCGTCCCACATGCCACAACTAGAGGAACCCACAACGAAGAATACACAACTATGTACCGGGGGGCTTTGGGGAGAAAAAGGAAAAAATAAAAAAAAAAAAAAAAAAAAAAAAACATTGTCAAAATAAAGTGGAGTTAACTCAAATATCACTTTTTCGGAAACTGTTTAGAAACCATTCCTACGTTAAGGGTTGCTTCCCATTCCGAGACTCAGCGATGAGAGGCCACGTGGCCAGCTAGAGCGCTCTACCTGCGCTGACAATACCTCTTCAGGCCCTCACGGGGAGTGACCTTGGGGCGAGCGTCCCCAGGAAGCACCCAACCTCATGCATGGTTACCTCGCGCTCATGAAGATTCACTCAGAAAACATGTATTTGTCTATAATACATCTTAACTTTTACATCCTAGACCAACTGACCGCGCCCACACTATAATCGCGTTAAGTGTGGGCCGCAGTCCAGGCACGAGGCCTGAAGCCCACAAGAGCGAGCCCTCCAACCTTAGGGCCTGACTTCTGCTGCTCGATGCTCCCGAGCAACGCGGGGGTCCCTGGGAAAGCTAGATGGGAAGCCCTCCCTCGCCCACCAGGCCGGGACGCCAAGTCCTCTTCCCTACCCATCCAGACTGGCAGACGGCTTGCACCAACAAGCGTTGGCTCACTACGGGCCTCAGCCCCATACTCGCTGCCCGCAACCCAGGGCTCGGTGAGCTGGGTCCATCAACCTTCCGCCCTCAGCATACCAATACGCCAACAACGACCTACCTCTACAGCCGCGCGGAACAAAAGAGTAGGCCGCCCACGCGACTCGGCTAATAGTGGGGCCGAGGTCTCGCGATAACAACTTAACTCCCGGAAGAAAATGAGAGGTGGGAGGAGGCCAGATAGCAGGGCGCCATTTTGATCGCCGCGAGAGGAGGAGCAATTAACAGGGGGCGGAGCCTGAGCGCCCTAACTCAGAAGAGGCGGAGCTGACGGAGGCAAGATCGCGTTTCAGGTGTGAGCTTCCCTGACAGATTAGGTAAGTGGAATAACCAAGAACTTTCCCGCAAATGACAAAAACGAATTTTGGGGTCAAGTGAACGGAATGTATGTAACTGCGAGAAAACAGCCCCTCAGCCTGATTTGTTTCCCGTGGTCTCGCCTTTGCTGCGCTGTCATCCGCCTTTCTGCAGCCTGGTTCTGCGTGTGTGGTGCTGGGTGTCTTTTGTCCTATTAGGTCTAGTTTTGCCTTCAGAAATCTCTTCCGTATGAAAGTATTAAAGGATCCTGCTTGCCCGTGATTGACACGTGTAACCTTTGTCCTGGAAGCCGTGCTCCCCCGAGCACACCCGGTCCCCGCCACCGTCTGGACTTGTTTTGTTAGCTCGCTCTCTCCCCCTCAGCGAAGGGTCGGCCTCCCAGAGTTGGCTCACCTGTCACAAGAGAGCCAGCAGTGGATTTTTTTTTTCTGAGTGTTTTTCCCCCTTAGTTCCCAGAAAGGTTACTAGTGAGTGTTAGGATTCAACAGTTTAAACTAGTTTAGTTTGGGGGGAGGCTGTTCCCTCCGAAGTAGTTACAAAAATGAGTGAGCTGGTTTGATTTGTCGGTTTTCAGACTTCTCGTATCATATGATCAATCCTTAGGGTGTCTAAAGTCTTAGTTTCTAGTCTGTGTCATCTCGGGATTGGACAGACCTTGGAAAGTAATCTGGCGTCTTTACTCAGCTTTGCTCTAAATATTGAACAATTCCAGGCATAAAACGTCTAATCGTGTCGCCATTTCCAGTGTCTATGAAATACTGTAGGTTCCAGGACAGGCATCCTGTCTCGTTCACTGTCCCGCTGGGAGCAGGGCCGCCCTGCCTCCCGCTCACGCGTCTACACCCTCACACGCGCTATGGGGCAGTCGGCTTGCATTTTTCTAAACCGGTTCAGGCTGTAGCCTCCCAGGGTTGCGCTTTGTTTACATTTCTGTGAGGAAAGAAAACAAAATAAACCTGAGCTTTTAAAGCTAATAAAGGATGTAAAATTAGGATTGTGTTTGAATTTAAACTTGAATCTTTATTATTCCTTCTGTAAGAAATATCTAGAGTGCTTCTATTATCCTTATTATAAATAAATACGGTATTCAGTGAGCAGATTTTGACATGCTCTTGATTAGTACTTGCTGGTTTCTGATGAAGAGAACATGATGTTACCATTTGGAAAATCTAGGTGAAGACTATATAGGAATTATTTATGTGTATTTTCTGTGCAACTGAAATTATTTCAAGTGAAAAAGTTAAAATATCTCATTCCTGAACAACTATAGATTAGTCAATTCAAAAATATGTTTGAGATAATTGAAATATGATTATATAGGTCTTGGGGCCTATTATCAACAGTTTATATTTTATTTTGGAGATCACATTATGCATATTAAGTAACTAAAGGAGAATAAAAGTCAGTATTTGGTAAAGTACTAAAGTAAATGTCAAGTCCTAAATGTATGCAGTAGCATGTGTATGGAGGATGTGTTGTTTCACATTATCAAAACTAGACACCCACTTTCTAAGAAACCTGTAAATCTTGGGAAAAAAAATTTTTTTAGTTGCTTTTGGAAGAATTTTTCAAGTGATGCTGAAGAATCATCTTTCAGTTACTAAGTAAGCATGTACCAGAGACTATTCAGATTAATGAGGTGTTCCATTAACGAATTTAGTGAGAACTCCAACGGTGCTCTTAGAAACCCTTAAAACTTTGGTCTTCATTGCTTGTTGCGGTTGGCCTACAGGGCATTCCCTGCCCACCTCGTATTACTTTTATTTGGGGTTTTTTTGGCATTTATTTTATTCATCTACCTCTGCTTGCACACCTCATCACCTGGACGCTTGAGGTGAGATACTAATTTCTGTATATATATATATATATATATATGCCTACTTATTGTAAAATATGCTTAACATCTTTATTTAAAATATCAAATTATAAGTGGTTAGATTATCAGAATAATTGAACATTAAAGCTGCTTACCAAGAAAGTATGTTTGTTTGTAAATGAAAATAATCATTTCAATTTCAAGAGCTAGTCATTTGTAGAAGTTTCCATTTCTGTCATTAATTTTAATTTTCTTTTGTGAAAGTGATAGTCTAAGAAACTTGTTTTAATTTATAGCTTAAATGTCAAAGATAGAATAGAAAACATAAATGATCTATTGTAGAAGTGCTTCGGCGTCCCATACTGTTATCTACACCATTTAAACACTTTTTCATAAACCTTAATAACTACCTTTTGCTGCAGAACCTATAGTCCTTAGACCAACCATCCGAAAACTGCCATGTTTGGGCCCGGCCGGGGTTCAGAGGCCTGGGGTTCACCAGTTCGGATCGCTGATGCGGACATGGCACCACTTGTCAAGCCATGCTGTGGCAGGTGTCCCACAGATAAAGTAGAGGAAGATGGGCGCGGATGTTAGCTCAGGGCCAGCCTTCCTCAGCAAAAAGAGGAGGATTGGCAGCAGTTAGCTCAGGGTTAATCTTCCTCAAAAAAGAGAACTGCATGTTTAATCCAGATATATGACTAAAGAAAATGAATCAGGTGCCCTCTTGGTTTGGGTTTTCTTCTTGTCTATTTTAACTGTCAGCTGTTCAAAGTATCAGTATTAAAAGAGGTGTTAAAAAGAAACAAGTCTCAAAATGGAGTTATTTGTCCTAAACCCCCATCTCAGTGAACCAAGACTTAATTGCAGTTTCAGCTTCTCCCAGGAGTGGAATTTTAAACCAATCAGTCTGGAGTTTCCTGATCAACTCTAGTGAGATAATCTGCATGCCAGAACGCCGCCCTTCCCCAAGGGAAGGTGACCTAGATTAATCCATTCTTTAGAAACGTCCTTTTTGAGCCCCCTTCTTGCTAGAAAGCCTTCCATGCTGTACAGCTCCCTGGAGCTCCTCTCTATTTGCTAGGTAAGATGCTGCCTGATTCATGAACCATGGAATAAAGCCAATTAGATCTTCAAATTTACTCAGTTGAAATTTGCTTTTTAACAGAGGTTGCTTGAGTGTTTCTCACTTGGACTTTTAATACTAGAAGCTGTGATTGCCTTCCTGGGAGGGCAGAAACCTAAATGCCCCTTTTTTTTTAAAGATTTTATTATTTTTTTCCTTTTTCTCCCCAAAGCCCCCCAGTGCATAATTGTATATTCTTCGTTGTGGGTCCTTCTAGTTGTGGCATGTGGGACGCTGCCTCAGCGTGGTTTGATGAGCAGTGCCATGTCCGCGCCCAGGATTCGAACCGACGAAACACTGGGCCGCCTGCAGCGGAGCGCGCAAACTTAACCACTTGGCCATGGGGCCAGCCCCCGCTAAATGCCCTTTTGCCCTCTTTATATAATTAAACTCTTTTTTTTTTTTTTTTTTTTTTTTTAAAGATTTTATTTTTTCCTTTTTCTCCCCAAAGCCCCCCGGTACATAGTTGTGTATATTTCGTTGCGGGTCCTTCTGGTTGTGGCATGTGGGACGCCGCCTCAGCGTGGTCTGACGAGCAGTGCCATGTCCGCGCCCAGGATTCGAACCAACGAAACACTGGGCCGCCTGCAACGGAGCGCGCGAACTTAACCACTCGGCCACGGGGCCAGCCCCTATATAATTAAACTCTTAATGTTCATTTCCAGAGCAGCAGCTGTTCATGCTTGGTGCACGGTGAACTCTGGTGATAATTAGCCTGCAATAGCTTTAGTTGTACGTCCTCGAACCAAAAGAAGAAAGAAAATGACTTGTGCTGAATATTCTTTCCATGTGCCGAGTCTAGAGGAGCTTGTTGGAGGTAAATACAATACTTACTTTGAGTTTTTAAAATTATTCTAAGGAAAAAATTAAAAAATAAGAATATTCTAAGATATAATTTATGCACTAGTACTTTTCGACACAGAACTCATTTTCCTTTTCAATATCTATTCTGTACTATGTTTATTGACAGTCCAAAATTCTGCCCCTCCAAAAAAACTAAACTCACCATTTAAAGATTCTTGATATGATACCTACTTTACAGAATGAAAATAAATTTATTAATACAAGATTTAAGTATCTGGAATGCCCAAAGTGTCGCACATTTTGCTTTATTAACTTTTTACCAGTTACAATATTCTGTCTATAATATACTGTGGTATATTAACCATGTTCCCAATATACAACTTTTTCCCCTTCTGATATGCCAATGAACTTGCTTAGATTTCTCTGTCTGTGTGTATTTTTATGTATTTCACCTTGTTTGAAAAAGAATTTAAGGCAGCTTCACAAGATTAATTAGAAGGAGAGGAGATAGATAAGAAAAAGAAAGTAAAGATAGGAATATAAAATGAAGCCAGGAATGGTACTAATCCAAAACTGTATATATAGCCTGTCATAATGCCAACCTTTGTGTAACAGCCTTTAGTTCCATTCTGATGGTGACTATAAAACCTACCCTTACTTCTCAAAAGTGTCCTGGTAGTTCATCTGTCCTCCTTATAAGATTAAGTCAAGAAGTGTACTCACGTTTTGCTTGGTTGTAGTTCATCTCTCATAACCTTCCTATTTTTTCCTAAATTGAGTAGCAGCTAGTAAACAATCTGTATTGCCCATATGTCTTTTCTATCAGTCTGTCTGTCTTCCCTGATATGACAGGACAGCTAGGAATCTTTCTGGGTGCCTTCCTACAACTTTTTAGCTTAAAAGTTATTTTCACTTTTTATAGAAAATCTTATAGCAAGAACTTGGTCCCTTTGTAATTGATAAAAAACAGATTTTACTATATTTCCACACACTGAATCTTAATTTCTATTTTCAGAAGTCTGCACTTATTAGTCCAGGGAGGGGAATTTTCCATTTGCTTTGGCTTCGGTTTTCACATAGATAAAGATCTGGTATAGAATATCCATCTGGCTAGATTGAGGCTGACTTCATGTTTTTAGAAAGTCTGGTTCTACAAGACTTAAACTGATGGCTGACACTGCTGTGAGAGAAATTTTTATAAGAACTTTTCATCCTTAAAAGTACGTTGCTCTTAGATTTATAACTTTGAGACACCTATGTTTCTTTTTTTACTTTTTTTATTGAGTTATAACATATATACAGTAAAGAACACTAATCTTAAGTGTGCAGCTTGGTGAATTTTAACGTGTTTACACTCATGTCACTACCATCCAAATCAAGATGTAAAATATTTCTAACATCTCAGAAGGCTCCTTCATGCACTTTCCCAGTCAATGTCTCTACCCCAGCAGGTAAGCACTGTTCCAACTGCCGTCACCTTAGATTAGTTGCCTGTTTTTGAAATACCTATAGGTGAGGTCATATAGTATGTGTTTTTCTGTATCTTGCTTCTTTTGCTCAACATTTTGTCTGTAAGCGTTTAATGAAGTTGTTGGGTAATTGCTTACTTTCTAGCAGTTTAAATATTTACATTTCAGTAGACCTTTGGAATCCTCTCCCCAGAAGAAAGGCAATCCTCACCTGAGTGCAATGTTTATCTTCAATGGTTTATAATCACTATGATTTATAGTGGTATTAATGGAGGGATTTAGGTGTCTTAGTTTACATTATATCTTGTGATTAATTATGTGTCTAATGTTATTATATTCATTAATCAGACCATTTCCCCCTCTTTTTTAATTACATTAGTTTAGGTTGGGAGTGTGACACAAAACAGTTGAGGGAAGATTTACTATGTGGTGGCAGATTTTCCCTAATGTTGAATAAGCCTTTTCCTTGTCTTTACTAGTTCTCCAGAAGGGGCTAAAGGATAACTTTGCTGATGTCCAGGTCTCTGTAGTTGATTGCCCTGATTTGACCAAGCAGCCATTTACCTTTCCTGTAAGAGGTAAGCAATTTTTGCAGTTAGCTTTTGTTTTTCAGTCCTAATCTTTTTCTAAAACTAGAATTATTTTTAAGGGTTGTCTTAAACTCTACAAATAAAGGATATTGTCCCAACTTTTAGGTTAAATTGTGCTTAATTTCTGTGCTCACTGTTTTCTTATATTGGTTAAATTTCATTTTATACCCTTGTGGAAAAATACTGTGTTTTATGCAGTTTTGTAGCTTTCACAGGTTACATAGTAGATATTCACTAGGCTAGAATCCTTGATATCACGTGAGAGTTTTGTTTTTAATTCCTCAAGTGACTGTTACAGGAACTTACTTTAATTTTTATGTTTTCATTTATTTATTCAAGACCAGAAGGGATCTTAAAAGCCTTGTATTTGAATTATCTGTTAAATACTTATACCCCTTCAACAAATTTGCCAAATGATCATCCAGCCAATGTTTAAAGTGAGAAAGAAGGGAAATTAATATTGGTTGAGTAAATATAATTTGTCAGACTATGATAGATAACCTATGTTTGATGTCTTCATTTTTACAGTAACACTGCAGGGTAAGTACTGCTCCAGTTTGTAGTTGAGAAAACTGAGGCTCAGAGAGGCTAAGCAAGCTCAGTGTGAATCATAATCAGGAGCAGTCCAGGTATGGCTGCTTCCAGCGTCCAGCATTCTCCCATTATACTCTACTGTGATGAGGAATTTGGAGAGAAACACTCACACTCACTCACTGTTTTATTACATAACTGACAGCTTTGTTAAAAAATAGTTTTATGGAGAAGTCCTGGACTCTAGCTCTTTCTCTCCCACACACAGATTTCATTACCCTGGTTAAGCCAGTTAATGTATCTTGGCTTCAGATAGATGCATTAAAATTGGGGGGCATTTGGGTTAAATGTTCTTCTTGGGTGTGTCCAGTTTAAACAGTCTTTGATGTTAAGTAGACCTGTAAATACTGGAAGTTTTGTGTACCTAATGGCAATTTCTCTTCACATCTTGAAAGCATTTAGCATAATACTTTTTTATAGCCATGTTTCTTTCAATTATAAGAGTAATATATTCTCCCCCACTAAATAATTAATTAAATAATTAAAATAAAAATCAGAAAACACTGAAGAGTATGAGGAAAAAGGAAAAATGATTAATCTCAATTCTGTCCTCCAAAGGGTTATACTTTGAAAAAAAGTTTTCTGGTCAATAATTTTGAGTCTTTAAATTACAATACTAAGGAAGCCAGATATGTATGTATATGTATATGTATGAGCTTTCATAAACATGGTTAGGCACTTTCTACATGAACTGGTGTTCCTCAAGTCACCAGTGAGTTGGTATTATTTTATCCCTCCAAATATTTTATGCTGTTTGGCCATTGCTACCTAACATTCTCTCTCCTCTTGGTTCTCCTCTACTCTCCTTGGTTCTCCTGCATCTTCTTCCTGGTGCCTTTCCTACCTCCATGATATTCTTTCTTCCTCATTTTTTCTGGCTCCTTTCTCTTTCTGGAAGGCTTTTAAATGTTGATGTTTCCCAGAATTCTTTCCTCCGCCTCTTCTTATTCTGTAAAGTCTCTCTGGACTATTTCATCTACTCCTGTTGTTTTAGTTACTGCTTGGACACAACAAATTCGAAACCTGTACGTCTCACCTAGAGCTCTCTTTTTCCACTTTTCTCCAAGACATCTCCACCTCTGTATGCTAAGAACAACTTGAGGACGACAAGTCTAAAATTTAACATATTACTTCACCATAGTTGCCTATGCTCCTTTCTTTGTTCTTTTTCTTAATTTCTTCTACTCCATCTCTACAAGTCGCTGTTTTTAGCTCATTACTTGCCTATTTGCTGGACTGCTAAAATAGTCCTCTAATGGTTTCTCTGAACTTAAACATTATCACTTAATGAGAAAGAGTCTTAACCATGAGTAATTTCTGCCGATCCCATGGAAAACACTTCCAGAGTCCCTAATTTTAAATGGGACCTAAAGAAATTTTGTACATTTACCCTCTGCATAGCTGAAGAAATAGAGCAATTTAATCTACTTTACTATAGAATAATATTAGTATGAAACTGACAAGACTACCTTTTCACAAAGTTAATTTTCCACCCTATGTTTAAAAAAAAAGAATATGCTTTCTCCCAAATTGTATCTAGCTGTACCTGTTATGTTAATGAAAAATGTAAGTAGAAAGTTCCTAGCATCTGAAGTTACCTCTAATTACTTGTCATTTTTATAAACAAGCTTGGGAATAAACAACTTTAACAAGAAGATTTTCCAATATGGACTTCTAAAAGAACTAATATTCCGTGAGAGCAAAATATTTTAAATTAAAATATAATTTTGGCTAAACCCTGTCTCCACAAATGATTTTTAAAGGAATAAGTCATTATAGGCTAATTCTAGAAACCTCATCCAATCCATACTTTAGCCCCAGGTCTAGCCCTTGCCCTGTCATCAACTTTCTGTTGCCTTTATGCTACTAACTACATCAAATCATGCTAGGTTATGACAATACTGGAGATGCAGGTAGTTAGAATAGGACAGGGGTCCCAGCTACTTAAATCTTCCAACCCCTGCTATTTTAAAACTATGAGAATGGAAAAGTTTTATACTCTTAATAAATTAAATTAGTATCTTCTGGCATTTTCTATTAAAATTAGATGTTTGCCTATTTTTAAGATGGCTTATTTTTTTTAGGCATCTGTGGGAAAACTAGAATTGCAGAAGTAGGAGGTGTGCCTTACTTAATGCCTCTTGTAAATAAAACAAAAGTAAGTATACTTTTACTCTTCACATTCACGTGAAGATTATAGAAGTTGGGTTGATTCCTCTTTTTGTTATTAGAAGATCCATTGACCAATGTGGTAAGGAAGTGTTAATGGACTCAGTAATATAAAGTAAAACAGGGAATTTGATGAGTTATGATTTAAAAGTTTAAATATTTTTTCCTCTTGTATAGGTTTATGATCTAAATAAGATTGCAAAAGAAATCAAGCTTCCTGGAGCTTTTATTCTTGGAGCGGGGGCAGGCCCATTTCAGACTCTTGGGTTCAATTCTGAGGTTAGTATATATATAATTATTTTCTTATATTGATTTGACATTTGGTTTGCCTTTTTCCTTTTACTGACCTATCAGAAATCCTGCTTTCTGAATGACTTGTCAGTGGTTGATGTCATCTCTCTCTACAGTTTTGATACTGTTTCATATAGATTTGGACCATAGCACATGCTCCAATTGGTCCAACTCTAATGGAGCATTAACCTCTCATTTCAGATTGTCTTAGCTCATACTCAGTCTTAGATGAGTCTATCCAAGCTCCTACTGTGGCCTGCTGAGGACCTTGGATTGTGAAAGATTTTAATCCTTATACGTCAGAGGATTCCTAGCTTCTTTTTAAATCTTTGCTTTTCATATGAGGGCAGCTTTCAATCAGAAGATGAAAGGAATGTTTAATAATCTAGTCAACTCCCTCTTTCAGACCAAGTAGTAAGAACCTACCCCGGTAGTATGATGATTATTTATAAGAGGAAATATCTATTACTGTGTATGTCCGTTTATTTCCAACATAAAAATATCAACTGTTTGTCTTCACATCTCATGAATGGAAGAGTGAATGACCTCTTAAGCCTGCCCATTCTCTCACAATCTCTACAGATGTGACCATTAAGTCAAAAACCATACAAGTTCTTTTGCAGAAATATGGGTATAATTTGCCTAGTGTTCAAGGTAGAAAAAGAGTTTAAGATTTAAAATTAGACATTTTAAAGCAAGTGTTACAATGTTATAGAAACACTATAAGAAATACTGTGAACATTTTATAAAATGTTTTCAGTTTTTTGATATTTGTAAATCTTTTAAAATTTTGACTCTAAAATTAATATTTCCTATTTCATGTTTTCTTATTAGGTCTTGAAATAAAATGTTTTAAGTCTAGGATAAAATATTTTGTTACATTATTCAAGATACTCTCTTTGCGTAGTGATACTAGGATTGACTAATTACCTTATTTACTTTTCTTTTCAGTTTATGCCAGTTATTCAGACAGAAGGTGAACACAAACCTCCTGTGAATGGAAGTTACTTTGCCTATATTAACCCTGCAGATGGAGGGTACCTTCTAGAGAAATACAGTGAGAAATATCGTGATTTTGGGTGTGCATTACTGGCTAATCTTTTTGCCAGTGAGGGCCGACCTGGAAAGGTGATTTTGTTCATAAAAACACAATATTCTCCAAAAGTTCTCAGCTAAAAATTTGAACTTTTATTGCCACAAATATGGTTTTCTTAAGAAAATCCAAAGCTACTTAAGTCCAAGCTCTTTAAATAACCTAGTTATGAAAGATTCAGAGAGTACTACAGGCAGAATGAGTCTCATTTAAAACTGAGGTTAAGAATAATACTTAGTAAGCAATACCCTTTTTTCTGAGGAAGTAAAAGATGGCAGGATATCCATGTTGGTTGTGAGTTAGTCAAATAGATGAACCATGCAGCTGAAGTAAATAGATAATGTCTGCCTATAGTTCGTATATATGCAATTTGTTCATTCCTGACTTAAAAGACTGATTGAACTAGATAGAAATGATGGTAGCAAAACTTATAGCAAGAAGGCAGTAAGGAGAATTAATGCCTCACTTCATATTTATTTCCTCTTAGTGCACAAAAAGATGATTTCAGTTTTACCAATTGTGAGAACTCTCACATTTTGTAAATAGAGATAGCTGCTTCAGTTACTTTGAGAAATGAGGTAGTGAAGTAAAAATACCTAATAAAGTGGAGGTAAAATAAATCCAGAATTTTCAAGGAAGTGAGAAAATGTAATCATTTCTTCTCCCCTCCAATTATCAGAGGTTAATCACTTTAAGTCAAGAAAGTCTCAAGTTTTTACCACCCTGACATATAATGCTAAGAATTTCTAGAGTTCAGTGCAGGCTTTAGCTATAATTCTTTCTCAGTCCAAGAAAGCATGAATAAGACTTTTATTAGAGTAAATGATATATAACTCATATATATTATAATATATATTACAATATGTGTATTATTAATCAAGACATAGAGGATTGAGACGCGTCAACTATCTGCGTGCTCTAAGCAAAAAAGTGAATATTTACTTGATGGCGTTAGATTATATAATGTTTCACTTGGTATTTAGTTACATTAAAATTTTGCAGCTTGGAACAGCGGTATGCATTTTTATGTCCTCTTCTAGGTCATTGAGGTGAAAGCCAAAAGAAGAACTGGAAAACTTAACTTTGTGACTTGTATGAGACAGACTCTTGAAAATCATTATGGAGATAAGCCAGTAGGGATGGGAGGCACTTTCGTAATTCAGAAAGGAAAAGTGAAGTCTCACATTATGGTAAGGGCCTGTGTGTGTGCACATGTGCTTAAGATCTTAGGATTTTTTGATATACATTGAGAAGTCTACCTTTAAAGACACCCTGAACAAATCCTTTTACTATGATGGTATTACTTTAAAATTTTAATGACAACCAACACTGTAAATCATATTGTGCGATAATGTCGTCTACCTAGAGTACTTCTTTCATGTTAATAGTTAGAACTTTGTTTTCAGTATGTTTCTTTTGAGATCACAATAGATGTGAGTGTAAGCCTTAGAAACTGATTATTATTTTCATTGCCAGAATCCCAAACTCAATACAAAGATTTTGCTATTAAGATGGTTGTGGTTTTGGGGGAAAGAACTCCTGAAAATTATAATCTTATGGGCTAAATATAATAAGTTTATAAGATATTAAGGATGGAATACCATATGAAGACAGACCCAGGGCCTTCAGGACTTTTAAAATAATTTTTAGTAGGTGAATGAATGAAGTGTAAAGTGATTACAACTTAATTTCCTTTTCGCTTTATCCGTAAAGCTATCAGGGAATGTATTGTTTTAATGTTTTTTATCCTGATAATTTTAAATGGCAAGCCAGCTGATCCTGTATAGAGGGACACATGTGTAAAACGACTTCATTACTTTTCCAAATTATTTACAACAAAATTATAAATCTATTTGTAAATACCAAATTATTATAGGATATTTTTAAATTCAAGTACACAATACTTATTATTATCTATAGTTACCATGATGTACATTAGATCTGTAGAACTTATTTATCTTATAAGTCAAGTTTGTACCCTTTGACAAACATCTCCCCATTTCCTCCAACCTCTGGCAACCACCATTCTACTCTCTGTTTCTCTAAATTGGACTTTTTTAGATTCCACATATAAGTGATATCATGCAATATTTATCTTTCTGTGTTTGGCTTATTTCACTTAGTATAATGTCCTCAAAGTTCATCCATGTTGTTGCAAATGGCAAAATTTCCTTCTCTTGTAAGCCTGAATAATATTACATATATATATCACACTTAGATAGATACGACAATTTCTTTATCTGTTCATCTGGTGTCAGACACTTAGGTTGTTTCCATATCATGGCTATTGTGAATAACGCTGCAATGAACATAGGAGTGCAGATATCTCTTCGAGATACTGATGTCATTTTCTTTGGATAAATATGCAAAAGTAGAATTTCTGGATCAGATGGTAGTTCTATTTTTAATTTTTCGAGGAATCTCCATACTGTTTTACACAATGGTTGTACCAGTTTATATTCCCATCAACAGTGTACAGGGGTTCCCTTTTTTCCACATCCTTGCCAACACTTATCTCTTGTCTTTTTGTTTTCCTTTTTTTTTTTTTTTTGAGGAAGATTAGCCCTGAGCTAACATCTGCTGCCAATCCTCCTCTTTCTGCTGAGGAAGACTGGCCCTCAGCTAACATCTGTGCCCATCTTCCTCTCCTTTCTGTGTGGGACCCCTGCCACAGCATGGCTTGATAAACAGTGCATAGGTCCCCGCCCAGGATCCAAACCAGCAAACCCTGGGTCACTCAAGTGGAGCACACGAACTTAACCGCTGTAGCACCAGGCTGGCCCCTCTCTTGTCTTTTTGATAAAAGCAATCCTCACTGGAGTGAGCTGTTATCTCATGGTTTTGATTTGCATTTCCCTGATGAATAGTGATGTTGAGCTCTTTTTCATATACCTGTTGGCCATTTGAATGTCTTGTTTGGGGAAATATCGAATTCAGTTCTTTGCCCATTTTTTAATTGGGTTGTTTTTTTTGCTATTGAGTTCTGTGAGTTCCTTATATATTTTGGATATTAACCCTTATCACATATGTGGTTTGCAAATATTTTCTCCCATTTCATAGGTTGCCTTTTCATTTTGTTGACTATTTCCTTTCCTTACAGAAGCTTTTTAGTTCGATGTAGAACTACTTGTTTATTTTTCCCTTTGTTGCCTATACTTTTTTTAAGTTAATTTTTATTGAGTTAATGACAGTTTACAATCTTGTGAAATTTCAGTTGTACGTTATTGTTTGTCAGTCATGTTGCAGGTACACCCCTTCACCCTTTGTGCCCACCCCCCCACACCCCCTTTGCCCTGGTAGCCACTAATCTGTTCTCTTTTTCTACATGTTTAAATTCCTCTTATCAGTGGAGTAATACAGAGATTGTCCTTCTCTATCTGGCTTATTTCACTTAACATAATTCCCTCAGGGTCCATCCATGTTGTTGCAAATGGGACGATTTTATTCTTTCTTACGGCTGAGTACTATTCCATTGTATATATATACCATATCTTCTTTATCAGTTGATGGGCATTTAGGTTGCTTCCATGTCTTGATATTGTAAATAATGCTGCAATGAATATTGGGGTGCATGGGACTTTTGGAATTGCTGACTTCAAGTTCTTTGGCTAGATACCCAGGAGTGGGATGGCTGGGTCATATGGTATTTCTATTTTTAATTTTTTGAGAAATCTCCATACTGTTTTCCATAGTGGCTGCACCAGTTTGCATTCCCACCAGCAGTGTATGAGGGTTCCTTTTTCTCCACAACCTCTGCAACATTTGTTACTTTTTGTTTTGGTTATTTTTGTCATTCTAATGAGTGTGAGGTGATATTTTAGTGTAGTTTTGATTTGCATTTCCCTGATGATTAGTGATGATGAACATCTTTTCATGTGCCTATTGACCATCCATATATCTTCTTTGGAGAAATGTCTGTTCGTGTCTCCAGCCCATTTTTTGATTGGGTGGTTTGATTTTTTGTTGTTGAGTTATGTAAGTTCTTTACATATTATGGATATTAACCCTTTGTCGGATATGTGACTTGCAAATATTTTTTCCCAGTTAGTGGGTTGTTTTTTTTTTCAATCCTGTTTTCCTTTACCTTGAAGAAGCTCTTTAGTCTGATGAAGTCCCATTTGTTTATTCTTTCTATTGTTTCCCTTGTCTGAGAAGACATGGTGTCCAAAAAGATCCTTTTAATACTGATGTCAAGGAGTGTACTGCCTACATTTTCTTCTAGAAGCCTTATGGTTTTAGGTCTTACCTTTAGGTCTTTGATCCATTTTGAGTTTATTTTTGTGAATGGTGAAAAAGAATGGTCAATTTTCATTCTTTTACATGTGGCTTTCCAGTTTTCCCAGCACCATTTGTTGAAAAGACTTTCTTTTCTCCATTGTATGCCCTCAGCTCCTTTGTTGAAGATTAGCTATCCATAGATTTGTGGTTTTATTTCTGGGCTTTCAATTCTGTTCCATTGATCTGTGCACCTGTTTTTGTACCAGTACCATGCTGTTTTGATTACTGTAGCTTTGTAGTATGTTTTGAAGTCAGGGATTGTGATGCCTCCAGCTGTGTTCTTTTTTCTCAGGATTGCTTTAGCAATTCGGGATCTTTTGTTGCCCCATATGAATTTTAGGATTCTTTGTTCTAATTCTGTAAAGAATGTCATTGGGATTCTGATTGGGATGGCGTTGAATCTGTAGATTGCTTTAGGTAGAACGGACATTTTAACTATGTTTATTCTTCCAATCCATGTACATGGAATGTCTTTCCATCTCTTTATGTCATCATCTATTTCTTTCAGAAAAGCCTTGTAGTTTTTGTTGTATAGGTCTTTCACTTCCTTAGTTAAATTCACCCTGAGGTATTTTATTCATTTTGTTGTGATTGTGAATGGTATTGTGTTCTTGAGTTCTTTTTCTGTTAATTTGTTATTAGAGTATACAAATGCTACTGATTTATGTAAATTGATTTTATACCCTGCAACTTTGCTGTAGTTGTTGATTATTTCTAAAAGTTTTCCAATGGATCTTTGGGGTTTTCTACATATAAGATCATGTCGTCTGCAAACAGTGAGAGTTTCACTTCTTCCCTCCCTATTTAGATTCCTTTTATTCCTTTTCCTTGCCTAATTGCTCTGGCCAAAACCTCCAGAACTATGTTAAATAAGAGTGGTGATAGAGGGCATCCTTGTCTCATTCCTGTTTTCAGGGGGATGGCGCTCAGTTTTTGCCCATTGAATATGATGTTGGCTGTGGATTTGTCATATATGGCCTTTATTATGTTGAGGTTATTCCCTTCTACCCCCATTTTGTTCAGTTTTTATCATAAATGGCTGTTGGATCTTGTCAAATGCTTTCTCTGCATCTATTGAGATGATCATGTGGTTTTTATTCCTCAGTTTGTTGATGTGGTGTATCACGTTGATTGATTTGTGGATGTTGAACCATCCCTGTGTCCCTGGTATAAATCCCACTTGATCATGATGTATGATCCTTTTGATGAATTGCTGAATTCTGGTTGCCAAAATTTTGTTGCGACTTTTTGCATGTGTGTTCATCAGTGATATTGGCCTGTTGTTTTCCTTTTTCGTGCTATTCTTGTCAGGCTTTGGTATCAGAGTGATGTTGGCCTCGTAGAACGTGTTAGGAAGTGTTCCATACTCCCTAATGTTTTGGAATAGCTTGAAAAGGATAGGTATTAAATCCTCTCTGAAAGTTTGGTAGAAGTCCCCAGGAAAGTCATCTGGTCATGGGGTTTTATTCTTTGGTATGCTTTTGATTTCTGTTTCAATCTCTTCCCTTGTGATTGGTCTGTTCAAATTGTCTGCTTCTTCTTGAGTGAGCTTTGGGAGATTGTAGGAGTCCAAGAATTTATACATTTCCTCTAGGTTGTCCATTTTGTTGGCATATAGTTTTCCGTAGTATTCTCTTATAATCCATTGTATTTCTGCAGAGTCTGTTGTTATTTCTCCTCTTTCATTTCTGATTTTGTTTATCTGAGCTTTCTCTCTTTTTTTCTTTGTAAGTCTGGCTAGGGGTTTGTCAATTTTATTTATCTTCTCAAAGAGCCAGCTCTTTGTTTCATTGATCCTTTCTACTGCCTTTTTTGTTTCAATAGCATTTATTTCTGCTCTGATTTTTATTATTTCTGTCCTTCTGCTGACTTTGGGCTTTGTTTGTTCTTCTTTCTCTAATTCAGTTAGGTGCAGTTTGAGATTGCTTATTTGGGATTTTTCTTGTGTGTTAAGATGTGCCTGTATTGTGATGAATTTCCCTCTTAATACAGTTTTTGCTGTATCCCATATGAGTTGGTATGGCATGTTATTTTCATTTGTCTCCAGATATTCTTTAATTTCTTCAATGATCCATTACTTGTTCAATAGCATATTGTTTAGTCTCCACATCTTTGTGCCTTTCTCAGCTTTTTTCTTATAATTAATTTCTAGCTTTATAGCATTATGATCGGAGAAGATGCTTGTTATTATTTCAATTTTTTTAAATTTATAGAGGCTTGCCTTGTTTCCCAACATATGGTCTATCCTTGAGAATGTTCCATGTGCTCTTGAGAAGAATGTGTATTCTGCTTTTTTAGGATGAAGTGTTCTATATATGTCTATTAAGTCCAACTGTTTTAGCTTTTCGTTTAGCTCCACTGTTTCCTTGTTGATTTTCTGTCTGGATGATCTGTCCATTGATGTGAGTGGGGTGTTGAGGTCCCCTACTATTATTATGTTATTTTTGATATCTTCTTTTAGGTTTGTTAATAGTTGCTTTACGAACTTTGGTGCTCCTGTGTTAGGTGCATAGATACTGATAAGCATTATTTCTTATTGATGAAGTGTCCCTTTGATCATTATATATTGGTCCTCTATGTCTCTCTTCACCTGCCTTATCTTGAAATCTGCTTTGTCTGATATAAGCATTATGACACCTGCTTTCTTTTGTTTGCCATTAGGTTGGAGTATTGTCTTCCACCCCTTCACTCTGAGCCTGTGTTTGTCCTTGAAGCTGAGGTGTGTTTCTTGGAGGCAACAAATTGTTGGATCTTGTTCTTTAATCCATCTTGCCACTCTGTCTTTTTATTGGAGAGTTCAGTCCGTTTACACTGAGGGTGATTATTGATGCATGAGGGCTTAATGCTGTCATTCTGTCGCTCTTTTTCTGGTTTTCCTGCATTTCCTTTGTTTCTCATCCTGTGTGTTTTAGCCTACCCATTGACTTCTGCAATTTCTTATGCTGGGTTTCTTAGCTTTTTCCTTATTTATGTTTTGTGTCTCTGTTCTGTTTTTTAGTTTAGTGGCTACCCTGAAGTTTGTATTCAGAATCTTATGCATAACACAGTCCATTTTCTGGTGGCCTCTTACTTCCTTAGCCTAAAGTGATTCAGTCCCTTTCCTCCTACCCTCCTAAATTATTATTTTCATCTCTTATTCCAACTTGTGTTGTGAGTTTGTGGTTAAAGTGATAAGATTGTCTTTGTTTTTGCTGATTTCCTTACCTTTATCCTAATGCTACTGTTGAATATTTGCTATCCTATTCTGATTCTATCTATTTGTCTCCTTACTCTTGTGTTTGGTGACCCCTTTCTCCCTTTTTTTCTTTTTTCAGGTATGATGGCCTTCTTGAAGATTTCTTGTTGTGGGGAGTGGGTCTTGTGGCTATGAAGTCCCTTAGCTTTTGTTTGTCTGGAAAAGATTTAATTTCTCCCTCATATCTGAAGGATATTTTTGCTGGATAGAGTATCTTTGGCTGAAGATCTTTATCCTTTAAAGTTTTGAATATGTCGTTCCAATCTCTCCTAGCTTGTAAGGTTTCTGTAGAGAAATCCGCTGAAAGTCTGATAGGGGTTCCTTTGTAGGTTATTTTCTTCTGCCTTGCTGCCCTGAGTACTCTTTCTTTGTTATTCATTTTTGCCATTTTTACTACTATATGCCTTGCAGTAGGTCTTTTTACATTGACAAATCTAGGCAATCTGAAAGCTTTCTCCACACACATTTCTCTCTCAATCCCTAGATTTGGGAAGTTCCCTGCTATTATTTCTTTGAGCACACTTTCTGCTCCATTTTCCTTTTCCATGCCCTCAGGAATACCGATGATTCTTAAGTTGCATTTTCTCATTGAGTCAGCTATTTCTCGGAGATTTTCTTCAGTTTTGTTTACTCTTAGTTCTCTTTCTTCCTCTGTCTGGAGCCATTCAACCTGTCTATCTTTGATTATGCTAATTTTCTCCTCTATGGTGTCCACAGGGGCATTCAGGGAATGCATATTCTGTTTTATTTTTTCCATTGTATTTTTCATCTCTAGTATTTCTAATTGATTCTTCTTTATAGTTTCAATCTCTTTTGTGAAGTAACTCCAGAACTCATTGACTTGCTTCTCTATATTTCCCTTTACCTCATTGAGTTTTTTGATGATAGCTATTCTGAATTCATTGTTGCTTAGTTTACCTATTTCCAAGTCCTCAGGACATAATTCTGTGTTTTTATTGTTTTCCTTCTGGTCTGGAGCTTTTATAAATTGCTGGACAGTAGAGGAACGGTTTTTGCACATAATGCTATTATTTGGTTGCAGTTACAGCCTGTCACCACTAGATGGGGGTTGAGAGCCGCATGTTCTTAGCCCTCCGTCTTCAGCTGTGGCCACAGCACAGGTTGGGAGAGGAGGGGCACTTTCTTTTGTGTGCATACCCAGTTTCCCATCAGCTCTCGCTCTTTGGTTTCCTGGGGCCTTGGCTTGATGGGGTCCTCCCACGCGAAAGCTTTCCCCCATTAGAGGGCTTCCATCTGAACTGCAGGGGCAGTGGGAGTCCTGGAGGATCCCCCGGATGCGCAGCCCCTCCCCGACTCCTTCCCTCATGGAGCCTGCCCCAGCAGTGATCCCAGTCTGTAGGGGAGGGAGCGGAGTTCTCTCTTACCCTGTTCCAGCTCCTCCAAGGGGGGGGGCTCCAGCCTCTCCGCCCTCCGTTGTTTGGCTACTGTGGGTCTCTGAGGATACCTGTGCTATTAGGATATTTTTTCTTGGAATGTGGTTGCTCCTTTTTGTTGTATGATGGAGGGGAGAGAGTCCCGGGTGAGCTCACTCCACCATGACTCTAGCTCTTGTTGCCTATACTTTTGATGTCATACCAAAAGAGTCAAATCCAGTGTCATGAAGCTTTTCCTCTATGTGTGCTTCTAAGAGTTTTATAGTTTTAGCTCTTACATTTAGGTGTTTGATCCATTTGATTTAATTTTTGTATGTGGTGTAAAGTAACGGTTGACTTCATTCTTTTGCATGTGAATATTCAGTTTTCCCAGCACCATTTGTTGAAAAGACTACCCTTTCCTCTTGGATGGTCTTGGCACCCTTGTCAAAAATCAGTTGACCATAGATATATGCAAGGGTTTATTTCTGAGATCTCTATTCTAGTCCATTGATCTATTTGTCTGTCTTTATGCCAGTATCACACAGTTTTGATTATTATAGCTTTGTAGTTAAGTTTGAGATCAGAAAGTATGAGACCTCCAACTTTCTTCTTTTTCAGGATTGTTTGGGCTTTTCATGGTCATTTGAGATTTAATATAAATTTTAGGATTGATTTTTCTATTTATGCAGAAACATCATTAGGATTTTGATAGGAATTGCATTGAATATTTAGTTGTCCAATTCATGAATACAGAGTATCTTTCCATCTATTTGAGTCTTTTTTAAATTCCTTTCAGCAATGCTTTGTACTTTTCAGTGTACAAGTCTTTCGCCTCCTTGATTAAGTTTATTCCTAAGTATTTTATTCTTTTTGATGCTTCACCTTCCAGTAGTAGTAATGACATTTAAGATTAGGATAAGGAGATATGCACAGGAAAACTGAGAGGCTATGAGAAATAAAAAATCTACTGATAGACTCATTCCTTCATTTATTCATTCATACTTTTTAGTGTGTACACATTGATTGGTGATCTTTTTGAAAACTAAGGTGTATAACTCCTTTTGATGTCAAAAATAGTGAATAGAATGTATAAGAAGGCTTAAAGTTTTTAACTTAATGAAATTATATATAATTTAAATTTTTGATTCTCAGTAATATTCAGTATGTTTACGTGTTTAATGATCTTTTATTGTAGCCTGCAGAGTTTTCTTCCTGCCCATTGAACTCTGATGAAGAGGTGAATAAGTGGTTGCATTTTTATGAGATGAAGGCTCCTTTGGTTTGTCTGCCAGTTTTTGTCTCCAGAGACCCAGTAAGTCTACCTCCGTCTTTTATATTGCAGTATACTACAATGATAATGCTCAATTTTTAGAATATTCTTTTAGACTTAGGCACTTTTTGTGTTGCTGTTTGAAAATTAAGATAGTCTCTGGAATTATCTTGAAAGATAAGGGAGCAGGTGGCTAACCACCCTACAAGTTAGGCAGAGCAGATTTTACCTTTGAGGAAATGAAGGCACAGGCATTTTAAATAACACCCAGAGTCAAGTTATTAAATGGTAGAATCATGACAGGATTCAGGTCTCCTGTCATCTTATTTGCTGTTCATTATATTCTAACTATGCATTAGAAAAAAATATAACATAGACCCTCGCTCAGAGAAAATATCTACCAAAATACTGATTAGTGTTATCTTTTGATTCAGTGATTACATATCTAGGAATTTATCCTTAAATATATGCATAAGTGTGTAAAATGATTAGTTAAAAGGTTATTCATGACAGCATTGCTGTAACACCAGAAGAATTGGAAATAATCTAAATGTCACTTGGAAAGTGGTATGTACATACAATAGAATACCATGCAAATGTGAAAGAATGAGAAAGGTCTCTTATGACCTGATACACAAAGATCTGAAAGCTATATTGTTAAATGAAGAAAAGCAATATGCAGCACAGTATGTATATAGTGCTATAGCATTTGAGGGGAAAAAAAGAAGTAAATCTTTCTGGAAGGATATAGAAGAAACTGCTTACATTGTTTGCCTGCAAGGAAAGGAAATGAGTGGTGAGGGCAGGAGATGGAAAGATACATTTTACTGAATATATCCTTTTGCACCCTTTGAATTTTGAATCATGTGAACGTATTACCTTCTTAAAAAATAAAAATAAAAATAAAAAGTATTATAAATAAAAAAGCTCTCCCTCTCCCTTAAACAAATTCTATCCAAAATTAATTTGAATATTAACAGATAGTTTGTCTATTGTCCTAGGGGTTTGATTTGCGATTGGAACACACTCATTTTTTTAGTCATCATGGAGAAGGTGGACACTACCACTACGACACTACCCCAGATATAGTGGAATATCTTGGATACTTCTTACCTGCAGAGTTTCTCTATCGCATTGATCAACCGAAAGAGACCCATTCATTTGGGCGAGATTAAATCAACTGATATTCATTTAGAAAAAAGAAATAACTAAGGTTAATTAATTGATTAACTCATTAATTGATACTAATATAAAATCCAATAGAAAGGATCTTACTACTTAAACCCTATTTTTTTGGTCTTTGAACTGAAAGGTGTGTTGACATTGTACTCTATTATTTCACAGATCTATCTGAAAAAGATTATTGGGAACAAAGATAATGGAGATGTTCTTCATTACTTTTTTATTCTAAAAATCAGTCTCATGTTTATAGCTTAAATATAAACATGATAAGGAATCGTGATTATTCCTACTGTCTAATAGTAAAAACTTACATTTGTGCAACATTATTAAATTTTTCATATTAGTCTCACAACTGCTAAGTGGATGTCTCTGGGTATTAGAAAAATCAGTGTTGGAAATGCTGATAGTTGTTGAATCTTTGTATTGAATTTTAAAAATCCATTTTAGAAGTCAGAGTACACTTTTTTCATGGAATAAGGTAGTCAGAGGGAGAAACTTCACACTTTTTGGTTAAGTTGAACCATACTCAGAAGTTCGCAACTTGCCTTTCACAGACATTAGCAACTAGGTGGTTAGGTATGATTCCTCCTCTGTTTGGATTGCCAGTGGGAAACAGTTTGTACCTTGTTGGTTATTTGTAAGAAGAGAAGGGAAAGGAAACAGCATCAGAATACAACATTGGAGTGAGTATACTCTAATTTATAAGTGAGGCTATTGCTAAACATGACTACTGTCCTTCATGAAATATAAAATTATACTCTCACCGATGGGAATGGTTGAAATTTTCCTCAGTGTCCTTTTATAATCATCATTAGCCAGAAATCAACTCTCTAATCTTACTAATGCCAACAGTGTGCAAATTAGGTACTCTTTGGTACATAATAAATCTTCAAAAAATATGCTTTGATTGTCTTCGAATGTTAACTATAATATGTCCTATGAGTATAAATTCCTAAATATTATTTTTAAATAAACACTAGTTTGTAGCAAAAAAATGAATAAAAATTTTATATTCATGATATGATATTCTGTTTCTTTTTAATATCCTACCTCCAGACAAAAATAATATTAGTAGTCATTCATTTAACAAATAGTATTGAAGACCTACCCTGCCCTCTAGAATGTAAGCTCCATGAGGGCAAGGGCTTTGATCACCACTATAGCACTGGTGCTTTTAACAGTGCCTGGCCGAAGTAGGCACTCAATAAATATTTGTTGAATGAATGAACGGGTGGATGATTATGCTTGACACTTCACTAGATGCTGGAGATCTGTCATTCAGTCACTTATATGGTAGGGGAGGAGAAATAATAAGCAGATCCATAACATGTCAGATAGTATTAAGTGCTATGAAGAAAAATAAAGGAGAGGATGGACTGTAGAGGAGGATGCTATTTTGTTGTGGCCTGGCTAAGACAGGATGGACTCCCCACCCACAATTTGGTTCAGAGGTTGAGACTGGTGAAGCCACACACACATACCAACAGGGTATTAAAGAGTTTATTACTCACATAATGAGGTTTTCTGAGGAAAGAAGGGTCGCTCCCAAGCAAGTCCAAAAATGACTTGAGAGAACAGGGAAAGGAGACTGGCTTGGGGGTTTTATGGTGTTAGGGGATAGGGCCAGGGTGATGGTTCTGCATGCAGTTTGAATTTCCCATAGGTGTCAAAGGAAGGAGCAGCCAAGCTTTCTTACAGCTTCCCCAAATGCAGGGCAGAAGGGGAAGAAGGAAGAGTAAGGCCTAATAGCTGTCAGCAGTCAAACATCCAAAATGGAAAAAAAAAATGGAATCAGACTCTACATTACTCATTTTATATAGGGAGATCAGGGAAAGCCTCTCTGATAGAGACACTGGAGCAAAGACCTGAAGAAATAAGAAAGTGAGCCATGAAGTTATTTGGAGAAACATCCTTCCTGGCAATTCAAAGGCTCAGAGGCAGAAGACGACTTGGTGTCTTGAAGAAACAGCAAGGAAGCCATTGTTAACAAAATAGGATCACCTGACTCTATGGGGCTAACATCTAGTCCATGTTCTGAGAAGCAATTTTTTAAATTATATATATATATATATAATTTTTATATATATGTATATATTCACAAAATTATATGTTAATGCCATATTCACTTTAAAATTAGGAATGTGTCAAGGATGCCAAATATCATGAACTATTAGACTATCAACCAGGAAAAAAGACAAGACAGAACAGGTATAACAACTGAAAAGGATAAAAAAAATTTTTCAGCAGAAAACATGATTGACTTCTTAGAAAATCCAAGATAATCTATGATGAAATTATTAGACTGAGTTCAAGAAGGTTCCTAAATATAAAATCAATATACAGTACAGTAGTCCCCCCTTATCCACAGGGGAGACATTCTAAGACCCCCAGTGGATACCTGAAACTGCGTTTTTTATACCATTTTTTCCTACACATACATACCTATGATAAAGTTTAATTTATAAGTTAGGCACAGTAAGAGATTAACAATAATAACTAAAAATAAAATAGAACAATTACAAAAATATTCTGTAATAAAAGTTACCACAGACCTTAGCAACCTCAGCATATGATTATTATTAATTCGAGAACTTGCACCTTTTCACTTAAAGTAAGCACATTATGGCTTTCCTTTGGCACATCAGAATTGCCAACATCACTACTCTTGCTCTTTGGGGTCATTATTAAGTAAAATAAGGGTTACTTGAACACAAGCCCTGTGATATTGTCACAACCTGATAACTGAGAGGGCTACTAAATGACTAACAGGCACTAGCATAGACAGCGTGGATACACTAGACAAAGGGATGATTCAGACCCCCAGCAGGACAGAGTGGGATGGCATGAGATTTCATCACACAACTCAGAATGGTGTACAATTTAAAACTTACGACGTGTTTGTTTCTGGAATTTTCCATTTAATATATTCAGACCAGGGTTGACCACAGGTAACTGAAACCATGGAAAGCAAAACCATGGATAAGAGGGACTATCATACAGTTCTTCCTTGACTTACAATGGGGTTACATCTTGATAAACTCATCATAAGTTGAAAATACAAGTTGAAAAAGCGTTTAATACTCCTAACCTACCGAACATCATAGCTTAGCCTAGCCTACCTTAAACGTGCTCAGAACACTTACATTAGCCTACAGTTGGGCAAAATCATCTAACACAAAGCCTATTTTATAATCAAGTGTTGAGTATCTACTGTAATCTATTGAATAGTGAACTGAAAGTGACAAACAGAACAATTGTATGGGTACAGAATGGTTGCAAGTCTGTCGGTTGTTTACCCTCATGATCGCATGGCTGACTGGGAGCTCCGGCTTGCTGCCACTGCCCGGCATCACGAGACAGTATCATACTGCATATTGCTAGCCCGGGAAAAGCTCAAAATTCAAAATTTGAAGTATAGTTTCTATGGAATGAGTATCACTTTTGCACCAGGGTAAAGTCAAAAAATCCTAAGTTGAACCATCCTAAGTTAGGGACTATCTGTGATGAGCTGTATTTCTGCATACCAACAAGAAACAGTTAGAATGTAAATTTGAAAATGCTGTTAATTCCAAAAGTACATAGAATATTTTTATTTAACAAAAACTATAATTTTTATGAAGAAAATTATAAAATTGTTGAAAACTTAAATAAGTGGTAAACAGTTATATCTGGGAATAAGTAATCTCATAGAAGTATCAATTCTTCTCAAATCTATAAATTCAATTCAACGACTGTCTAATCCTAGTAGTGCTTTTCATAGAACCTTACCAGTTAATTCTAAAATATATGGGATAGCAATGGGCCAAGATAAGCAAAGACAATTTTCAAGACAAGATCAGGGGTATTTGATATATAGATATCAAAATTTATAAACTTATTATAAGACAGTGTGGTTTGGGAACAGTGATGGACAATCAAACCAATAGAACAGAAAACCAAAGCCAGAAACAGATCCTCACATATGCAGATACTTGATTTTTTTTGGCAGAGGTGACATTAGAGATGAATGAAGAAAGGAAGATGCATTCAAATAGTGCTGGCACAACTAGTTAATATGGAAAAGTAAAATTGGATTGGGCTCAATATGAGGTGAATTAAACACCTAAATGTGAATATGAAAAGTTTAAAAGCTTTAGAAGAAAATATAGGAGGATGTCTTTATGACTTAGGGGTACAGAAGGATTTTCTAAAGAACGTAAGGCACAAACTATAAAAGGAAAAGATAAGTCTGATCTTACAACCTTAAATATAAAACTTGTTTGACAGACTATAGCTCAAAAAGGAAGAAAGCAGACTAGAGTCTGGGAGAATATATTTTCAAAACGTAACTGATGAAGTTCAGTTTGTATTCAGAATGCATTAAGAACATCTACAAATCAGTAAAGAAAAGACAAACACCTAATAGAAAAATAGGCAGAAATTATGAACCAGCATTTGACAGAAAAGGAAAAACCAATGGCCAATGTTAAATCTTAAGATCTCTATTTCCATTAAAAGTGGATTAGACAATTCAGACAAATCATCTCACTAAAGACAATTTTAAGAGCTGGAAAAATATAAAAAGTATCTTCTTGAAGGTACTGAAGAGTTAACAAGATAGTGAAGGACTCTGGGCCAGTGTCTGGGAGAGAATGGAAGCCCAGCTTAGGTCAGCCAGCCCCCAGGACCTACAGATGCTTCAAGTATGCGTGATTATTGCTTTAAGCCTGTGACTTTGGGGGTGCTTTGTTACACAGCAATAGGTGAGTGATTTAACAGTAAATACATGGAAATTATAAGTCATGGTTATTTCTAGGAGGACGGAGATGTGAACTAGGAAGAGTACAAAGGGACTTCAACTATATCAGTAATGCTTTATTTCTTAAGTTGGATGTGAATACACAGATGTTTGTTGTAACCTTCTTTTTAACTCATTTTTTGTCGTTGTTGAGGAAGATTAGCCCTGAGGTAACATCTGCTGCCAATCCTCCTCTTTTTGCTGAGGAAGACGGGCCCTGAGCTGATGTCCGTGCCCGTCTTCTTCTATTTTACATGTGGGATGCCTGCCACAGCATGGCTTGCCAAGCAGTGTGTAGGTCTGCACATGGGATCCGGGATCCGAACCGATGAACCCCAGGTCGCTAAAGCAGAACATGTGAACTTAATCACTGTGCCACCAGGCAGGCCCCTAACTCTTAAATATAAAGTTAAGGACATAGTATGAATCTCCTTTTAGGAGGTATGTTCTTTTGTACTTCATTTTTCACATATTTTCTTAAAATATCTTTAAGTTTACACTAAAGAATTATGGTGCTTTAGTAATTAATGTTTTAATTAAATTAATGTTTTAAATTAAAAAAATATTTCCCTTTTGTTCTCTTGAATTTGGTTAGAATTCTTCTCTGACATATTGACACCCTATTCCTATATATAATATCACTTCTTTCCTAAGGAGTTATCCTTTGTATGTCAGTGACCTCCATTCATGCTATGTGGGAAGTGGTGAGCAGTACTGGGAAGGGATGACTACGTTGGATGGGGATATCCTATTTGCCTTTGGGAAAGATGGGAAAATGTCAATGACATACTATGCATTATTTTTCCATGAAATGTATAGGAATATCTATGCATTGAGATTGGATAATGAGGGGCTGGCCTCATGGCCAAGTGATTAAATTCACACACTCTGCTTCAGTGGCCCAGGGTTTTGCTAGTTTGAATCCTGGGCGCAGACATGGCACTGCTCATCAAGCCATGCTGAGGTGGCATCCCACATAATACAAACAGAAGGACCTAGAACTAGAATATACAACTATGTACCAGGGAGCTTTGGAGAGAAGAAAAAGGGGAAGAAGAAAAAAAAGAAGATTGGTAACAGATGTTAGCTCAGGTGCCAATCTTAAAAAAAAAAAAAGATTGGATCACGATATACCAACTTCTTCGTCTTAGATACTAGTGAATCCCACGGAGGTATATTATGAAATGACAAGCCTACTTTTCAAGTGTGCGCTCTGGTGCAGTGACATGAAAAATGAACACAAATGGAGGTAAACAGTGAAGAGGATTTAGCTCTGAAAAAAGAGGATCAACAGGCCGAGGGTTCTGCATTCAGTAGGGGAGAAAAGTGAAGAGTAAAACTGCAGAGCGGACTAAGAACGTGTTCCAAACAGGAAGCTGTGAGATGGGTTGAGCTACTAAAAAATCACAGCCCTTGGGGAAGTGAGCTGTCCTCCTGCAGCTTGCCTGTTAAGTTCGCACCTGAGGTCTCTGGAAGTTGCCCGAAGAAACTAAGCTGAGAACTTCTACTATGTTAAAATAGTTGTAGAGTGAATAGCTTGGGTCCCACTCTATGGCTGCTTCCCATCTGATTTCAGATTGGGGGTGGGGGGCGCTCTGAAAAAGCCCAGGGTCTCTTCCCCTGACTAAAGTTTATGAATACCACCTCTGCCCTTCCATCAGCGTTCTCCATAGTGGGGTGCATGAACCGCAGCAAGTGCACAGCCCATTCCAAGGGCTGCAGGAGTTTTAGAATGTCTGTTTGCATATTTTATTTCATCCTTTTTAATTTCTATTTTTGTGTACATTTCTTAAATTATATTATGTTAAAGATGCCAGCTGAAAATTTTTTTGCTGATAGACACAGTTCAAAGAGCGTGGAGACCAGATATATTGACATCATCTGTCCAAACCTAAAATGAGAACAAAACTGACAGCCAGAAGGGCAATTATGTGACTAAAGTAATAAAATAGTAAAAACTGAGTTTTCCAAAGAAAATCTGGTATATTCATTGGTCAAATGTATGGTTACTGTTCCTGGAACTCCTACCTTAGACCCCATTTCTCTGATACAGCCTGTTTTTCTGAAGTGTATTAACTAAAGTAAGGAAGACTGACATCTTTAAGTTTAGAATAATGCTTGGGATTAGTTACATTAGTAACCTAATATTTGCCACTATAGTAGACATCTAAAAGCAGACTCTCATTTGCTTTTGGTTTTAAAACCCCCGTTTCCTTTCAGGTTATCTGTGAAGCCTCTTTGTGGCCTATCATTCAATAGCAATTTACTGAGCATCATCAATGTGCCAGGCACTGTAGCAGGCACTATGAAAACAAAGACGAATAAGACAGGGTCCCTGCCCCAGAGGAGCTCAGTCTAGTGGGGAGACTGACTGACATATGAACAAATAATTAAAATAGAGTAAGTCCTATTAATATTACCCTATAAGGTACCATACCTTAGAGGAAACTGCATATCACAAACACAAAAATAAATTTACTAAAGAACACATGCACTTCCGGTACTGGCCAAGATGGAATAAGCCCACAACAGCCTATTTCGCCCACAATTATACAACACAAAACTTCGCATTAAATACAAAAAGCAACTCCCAGAACCACTCTTGAAAATTAAACCATAGTGGGTAAGTTGAAGAGGGAAGTCAAAATTTGAAGAATGAACAATATGGTGATGAGTTTCCTGATTTTTCTTTCCTCTTTTATCTGAGGCAGTCTGTCACAGAACTATGCCATGGATATGGACAGCAAAAACTCCCAAGAAAGTCCAGTGTGGCCAGAGAACCAGGAAAGGGAGCCCCAGTAAGCCACAGTGATACTCTCCATTTTTTCCCTTTGTTTCCTTTGTTTTCTTTGTTCTCTCTCAGCCCCACCCAGGGGCTGCACACTACATCAGTAGCATCAGCAGAGCTGTCACCTGCAACACCAAGAGAAAAATGAGAAACATGACTCCAAGGGAATCAGGAAGTGGGCCTCCTGTGGTCCCATTTCTCTCTTTTCTCTTGGTGCTTCATCTGGAGGGTGGCCCCCGTTGTGAAGAATTGCATTGCGGTGTGGAGTCTGGGGGGCTAAAACTAAGAAAAACTGATATTTGTGGCCAGAGGAAGCAGGAAAGGGTGTTATTCAGAGTATTCCCTTATTAACCTTTTAATGTCTATAAAAATTTTGAATATGTACCCCAAAGTATCTTACACGCTGTTCTGTTCTTTCCGCACTTTGGTTTGGATTTTTCCATTGACCCGTCTTTGAGTTCACTAATCCTGTTCTGTGCTGTGTCAAATCTCTTAGTAAACCTATCCTATGGGTTATTAATTGCACCAATTTTATTCTAAGATGTACATTTTATTTTTTTATAGATTGAAATTTTCTGTTGAAACTCCCCATCTTTTCATCCATTTTGTCCAATTTCCTCTATTTTCAGTTATTTTAAAGTCCTTGCCTCCCATCTCCAATGTTTTCCTATTATGTGTTTTTGCTTTTGATTATCGGTCACTCTTTCTTGCCTCTTTACATATCTACTACTACTACTATTATTCTATGCTGGAGATTGTGTGTTCTAGCTGATATCTTCCACCAGTGAGGGTTTCCACCTTTCTTGTGTAAGAGAGATAAGGTGACAGGCTGATTACCTCAATGTCATCAGAGATTGAGCTGGGTTGGGGTTGGCTTGCCTTTTAAATAAGACTCAGGCCACTTCTGCTTACAGCATGTTACTCCATGTGTTCCTTTTGGAGTTTTAATTGAGAACCTGGCAGATCTCTGTCTCTGCAGCCCTGAAAGGTGGTGATGGATTCAGTTCTTCCCATTGGAAGATTTGAGCTCCATGAGCCCTCAAAATCTGACAAAAATTTTTCGTAGAACACTTCCCTGTCAGCAGGACTTAGTATCATGTGTCTGAGTCTACAGAAGACTTTATTTTTTATACTTAGATTTTAATCCATTTGAAATTTATTTTATTTATGGTGTCAGACAGGGCAGTGTAACAGGATTATTTTCCATATGTGACAGATTGTTGGCCCTGCTCTTCCCTTTATCCATACTCCTTTCCATGTAACTGCAGTTTCTGCAACTACAAAGGCTGAGCGTAGCCCCACTCCCACCTGTGACTTCTGGGCTTGGCCATGGGACTTGTGGATGTTAGACACGAAAAGCAGGCAAGGCTCACCTCTTGTACCTCTGCCATCACCATGAGAACAAGACACCCTGACCAGCCTGCTAGTACAAGAATGAGAGACACATGGTACAGAGTCATCTGAATGACCTGTAGACCAGTAACTTGAAATAGAACCAACCAGCTGAGCCCAGCTTAGATCAGCTGACCCTCAGGTGTGTGAGCAAGCCCAGCTCAGACAGCAGATGCCCCAGCCAAACTGCACAAGTATGAGCACCTTATAAAGATTAAATGAGAAATACGTTTAAAACACTTAGCACAGTGACTGGCACAAATAGAGCCCATGATAAATATTAATCAAATTTAAAAACAAAGTATTAAAACTTTTTTAAAATTTACACATAAAGACTAGGTACAGTAGTTCTCAAACATGACTGTGCAACGGAATCAATGTTGAGCTTGCCAAAAATAGGTTCCTTTTGAAAATTCATATCCCCCAACACACACCCACATACATTCTATTTCGGTAGAGACTGGTACCAGGGCAACCGTATTTTCCTAAATATCTTGGAAAAGTAGTTCAAAAACTTAAGTAAATCTTGGTCAGTACAAAACTTGGAAAGACTCATGATAAATACATAATTCCTTAATTAAGTAGAGTTTTGTAACATAAAATAATCCACCGTTCCCTTTGGAATTATTACTAATGAAACACTTTCTCGGGGACTCAGACTGAAGTTATACCACTGCTTCTTAATCTGTTAAAAATTATTTATTCTCAGTCACTCAGGTATGAAGTAAATATTTACTAAGCGGTTATTACGCACCAATGTCTATTATGCTTGCTGGAGATAGTCGCCGTCATGGAGTTTACAACTAAGGGGAAAACGGATTAATTATGTAGTATCATTTTAAGTAGGGATAAGCACAATAATTTTCCTCAAACTACGCCCTTACTTTACAAATCTTCAGACATGCTGTTTCTACTCTAGGTGTAAGCCCTCAGATCTCAGCATTCTCAGAGGGACTCTCATCACTAAGATCCAGGGCCCATTTATTTCCTTATCTCTACCTCTTCTCGGCCTTCTTCAGCTTGCCTTCCTCCACTTTCAAGCAAGTTAACTTTTAAAACGCAGACAGACACCCTGGACCAGCCTCTCCCGCTCTGCACCCGCCCCTCGCTCCCACCGCCGGCCACGCCTCCTACAGGCCGGGAAGTTTTTCGCGACGGGGAGCTGGGAGTCACCGGAAGGGCTCGCCCGGAAGCCCGGGACGCCGGCGCCTGCCAGTTTCGTTCCAGAAGACAGCGAGGCGAGAGGGTTGGGTCGGGTACGGGGTGTGTGTATATCTCCTGCGGTGCATTCTGGGAAAGTCGCTGCGGCCTCCGCTTTGGTTCTGGCCGAAAAGCCGCGTAGGTTTCCTGACAGTCCTCAGCGGCGCCTCTGCTTCCTCCCTGGGTTTTCTGTTCGCGCGGGCGTCCTCCCGCCGCTTGTCGACGCCGCCAGCATGTCCGGGGTGCGCGCTGTGCGGATCAGCATCGAGTCGGCCTGCGAGAAGCAGGTCCAGGAGGTGGGCCTGGATGGCACGGAGACGTACCTGCAGCCGCTGTCCATGTCGCAGAATCTGGCGCGTCTGGCCCAGCGGATCGACTTCAGCCAGGGGTCGGGTTCCGAGGAGGAGGAGGCGGCGGGGCCCGAGGGCGACGCGCAGGACTGGGCGGGCGCCGGGTCCAGCGCGGACCAGGACGACGAGGAAGGTAAGGCCGTGTCTGCTGCTCGAGTCCGCGGGGCGGGTGTGGGGGTGCCGCACCCGCCCGGGTCCTGTCATTCGGCCTCCCGCGCTAGGTGAGATGCTGAGCGTGGGAGTACTGTGAAATACGCCCGCGCGGAACAGCAACTGTGCTCGTCGTCGTTTTTTGTTTTATGCTGGACGTATAGGGGACCGCCTGACTCAATACTCCTTATCCTTCTGCAAGTTTTTCTGAGTGGGAGCGTTGGAGACACGGTCACTGGTGAAGTGTTTAAATAAGTTTTTAATAGAGCGTCTGTAACGTGGAGCATTCTGTTTAAGAGCCCTGTAATTCGCATCGCCGCTTACCTCTTACTAGCCTGTGATCTTGGGCGAGTTGCTTGCTTCCCTTAGCAATGTGGCTGATAGTAACACCCACTGAAAAGAGATCTTTTTTGAGTGGAGTGTGAGATAAGGTCTGAGATAGAGGAGGTAGGCTGGAGCCAAATCATGTAGAGCCATTAGGCCAGGATAAGCATTTCGCTTTTCTTAGGAGGACAACTGAAAGCTTTTGAAAGATTTTAAGTAGACAGATTTAAAAAATTACTCTGAGTGCTATGTAGTAAACGAATTATAGGGAAAACAAAACGAGAAAGAGGGAGGCTAGTTAGAGAATTGTAGGAGAAGTATGAGTGGTTTTTGGATTCTCAGTCTTGTCAAGGATAAAAAATACAATTGTTGATTTAGTTGTGTGCACCAAACTCTGTGTAAATGGGAATTTAAAGATGTCATTTCAGGGGCCGGCCCGGTGGTGCACTGGTTAAGTTCACATGTTCCGCTTCTCGGAGGCCCGGGGTTCGCCGTTCGGATCCCCGGTGCGGACATGGCACTGCTTGGCAAAAGCCATACAGTGGTAGGCGTGCCACGTACAAAATAGTGGAAGATGGGCATGGATGTTAGCTCAGGGCCAGTCTTCCTCAGCAAAAAAAAGAGGAAGATTGGCAGTAGTTAGCTCAGGGCTAATCTTCCTCAAAAAATCAAGATGTCGTTTCAAGCCAGTGGTGGTAGGACAGTTAGGGGTCCGTTTGGGAATAAAAGGTAAATACTACCTCATGCCATACACAAAAATTATTTCCACAAGGATTGAAATGCAAATGAAGAGAATAAAGCAATATTGGAAGGAAGTTATAATCCTATAATCTTAAGAGTAGAGAGACCTTAAGCAACATAAACAAAAGTTATAAAGGAAAGGATAGATATATTCATCACATAAAATTTAAAGATAATAATGGAAAGATGCCATAAACAGAGTAAAAAGATAAATGACAGACTGGGTAAAGAATTTGCAACCCCTATAACACACAAGTGCTTGATATCCCCTGTGTTCCAAGAATCGCTTCAAACTGAAAAGAAAAAAACAACCCATTGGAAAAATGGGCCGAAGATAGAAACAGTCATCTCACGGAGGAAAGACTTCAGATCCCCCTAGTAGGGAGAGGCAAATGAAAACATCGTTAAGATACTATGTTCATGCATAAGAGTAGCAGAAATTTAAGAGATTGTTAGTATCCACTGTTGGGAGCGTGAATTAGTAGAACCTTTTTGAAAGACAGTTTGGCAGTTTAGTATGTGTCACAATTTTTAAATGTGTCTCTCTTTTGACCCATTAATATCATGGCTAAGAATTTAACCTCCAGGAAAGGTTCTACATGTACACAGATGTGTGTTCCAAATGCTGACCGCTGCTAGCATTGTTGGAACCAATATACATGTCTGTTAAATAGGAGTGCTTAAACTGTTGGACATTCATGCTCCAGAATATCATACACTGTTCAGGAATGAAGTAGATCTGTAATTGCTGACGTGCAAGTGTCTCTAGGACATATTAAGTGGGGGGAAAAGCAAGTATTGGAAAATGGGAGTATATGTATGTAAATGCGTAGGAAAACATTTGGAACGGTACTTCCCACCTGTTAAAAGTGATAACCTCTCAGGAGGGGAGAGAATTAAGGGTAGAGAATGAAGGAAAACTTTCACTTTTTACTCTGTAACTCTCTATTGTTTGAACTCTATATAGTGAGTATGTGTTTGTGAAATTTAATTCAAAAAATAAATTTAAAAAAATTAAGAGGTTGGAAGATACGTTAATAGTGTTTACTATCTGAGTGTTGCCATTATAGGTCATTTTTATTTTTGTACTTTTCTCTATTTTGGAAACTCTCTACAATTATTCAAGTTTTAAAAGCTGGAAGAAAAAAGCTTGTTAAAAAGACTTGCATAAATTTAAAAAGATGTTTGAATGCCTATCATGTTGTAATGTTGGATTTAACCTACAGAAGTTAGCTATCATATTTGTTTTTCCATTGTAGGAATGCTAACTTAAATGTTAAAGATTCAAGAAAGGGTGGGGAGCATGGGATAAAAGAGGGAACAATTTGAAATAAAATTCATTATTTTTTCTTTTAGTGCTTTTAAACCTCTAAATGAGCTTTCTGTCTTCTATTCAGTGTAACTAATACATTTGTATTTCTTTTTCTTTCTCGTTTCAGGGTTGGTAAAATTTCAGCCTTCCCTTTGGCCCTGGGACTCAGTGAGGAACAATTTGAGAAGTGCCCTGACAGAGATGTGCGTTCTCTATGATGTTCTCAGTATTGTTAGGGACAAAAAATTTATGACTCTTGATCCCGTCTCTCAGGATGCAGTTCCCCCAAAACAGGTATTTTTGGGCTTTATTTGAATGATGATACCATTTTATTAAGTCTCAGGACCATTTTTTAGATTGTGTCCCTATTATTCCATTTCCTTTGATGCAAAATTAAGTCCAGATGGAGATTTAAAAACTAACTGGGTCAAAACAAATGCATAAAACTGTATCTCCTTCATCTGTTATTTTATTAATATACCTGTGACTCTCAGAAAAGTTAAGTTTCATTAATAATGTAATACTTTAAAGAGCCTGGATTCTTGATCTGTAATATATTACACAAAAATGCGATGGTTAAATGGCTTTGGAGTCAGACAGACCTGAGTTTAAATCCTGCCTCTGCCCTCACTAGCCCTGTGACCTCAAACAAGTTATTTTCTCTCTCAAAGTCTCAGTTTTCCCCCTCAAACTCCCTCTGCCCCCCTTTTAGGGCCAGCTTAGAAAAGTTAGAAAAGCCAAATTACGGAGGATATTGAAAGCCAGGTAGAATTGTTGAGATTTGATGAAGAGTATATGTAATTTTTGAACATGAGAAGATGAAACGGAGGCAGCAGAAGGATGGATTGGTGAATGAAGAATCTGAAATTAGGGAGGCCACTTAGTATGGCCTTAAGAACAGCAAGCATCGGGACCAAGACCAAGTTAGTGGCATGGAGAGGAAATAATTGTTGTAAGAACCCTATTAATTGAATATAATTGCTCACATGATAATAGTTTCAGAATCTAGAAGCATTGTGCTGGAAGACTTCTTAGAGATCGTTAAGCCGGCTTCCTTCATTTTACAGAGAGAAAAACTAAAGCCCAGAGCCATCTGTGATGTGTTCAGATTGCAGTAAAGCCAGTGGTTAGAGAGCCAAGATGAGAACTCTGGCTCCTCACTGATAGCCCCCTGCCTTTCCCACCATTCTGTTCCTTTCCCAGAGAGGAGTCTCCAGGAATTTCTTGAGCTCTCCAAGAACTTAGAATTAGGTTCCCTAATATGATCAAAAGATTATTGTGACATTTTTTGAAATTTTATGATTTTGACTCTTATACAACCAGAAAACTTTCTTTCATTAAACCTGGCTCTTTGGAAATATATGTGGTTACTAAATATACAAATTGGTGGTGATTATGGATATTGATGTATGTATATATAATACATAGATTTTGATTTCTCATCAGTTTTCCATAAATTAGCATTCAGTGAAGTACTTTTAATATTAATGCCACATGGCTTCAGTGTTAATTCCAAAGGCACTTTGGTAGCTTGCTGTAACACAGGATAATTTTACAGCTATACTCATTGGAGTCATTCATTTATTCATTAAATCAAATATGATGTGCCAGGCATTGTTCTAGGGTCTGTGGATATAGTGGTTTCTGCCATCATGAAGGTTACATTCAAGCAGAGATTATAGACTTTAATCAGAAGTGTATTGAGTGCCACAAAAGAGTGAATATACACATGGGTGGGAAGTGGGGACTGGTGGTACATAAGAGCGGGACCTAACCCACGCTGGCCAGAGTTGATGCAGTGGTAAGTTCTGATCTATAGTCCACTGTAGTGTGTGTGGTTTAACATCTTAACCAAAGAAATAGTTTAACGTTATTATTTTTAGAAAAAACATTATTATGTGTACTTTTTCTCCCTTCTCTTTGCATTTCGTTAATTTCTAAATTTTCTCTTGAATAATAAGTATTTTATTATTGAGAAAATGTATAATTTTAAAATCACTTAAAAATAGTACAGAAGTGTACTTTTGAATTATTTTTGATAGAATCCTCAGACATTGCAGTTGATATCTAAAAAGAAGTCACTTGCGGGAGCAGCACAGATCCTATTGAAGGGGGCAGAAAGACTGACTAAATCAGTGACTGAAAACCAAGAAAATAAGCTACAAAGAGACTTCAACTCTGAGCTTTTGAGATTAAGGCAACACTGGAAACTTAGAAAAGTTGGAGATAAAATTCTTGGAGATCTCAGCTACAGAAGTGCAGGTATAGATTATTGTTAAGAACTATGCTGTTAAACTGGAGTTTGTCAAAAAACTATACAGGGTTGAGTGTAATGTTACATGTTCTATAATCTGTTGTTTCTCAGTTACATGCTACATTTTGAAATTTTAGTTTCTGTACACGTAATGCTGAAGAAGCTGAAATTACTCTTGTCATAGCATTATATATATATATATGAATATTTTAGATTCAATTTGAAAACCTTTTAGGTACGTTAAAAGAAAGTTCAGAGACAGGGTTTATGTGCTAACGCACCCTGACCACAATTGACATTTTAGTCAGAAAGCAGGAGGTAGGGCTAGACTCTTCAATCAGAAGCTTACCTGTAACCCTTAAAAACTGGGCATAAAAGGAGAAAAGAGACATTTCTATTCTTCCTTATTCTTTTTTTCTCCTTTTAGTCTGCTGAGCTGTTTTCACATCCTGGGTGAAGAGAGGATGGTGAAAATACTTTGCCTTTCTCTTCCCCATTCAACCAAGGCTGCACACTAACTTAAGGAATGTATTTTCTTGGAGTATACCAAAGTTTGATCTTGAATTCATATCATTTGGTATAAATTCTTTGTCGCATTTAGCTGTAATAGCAGGTTCTCAGGGTAGTCATGGTGATGTCTTTATATGAGCTGCTCAGATGTATTTAGAGGAACTATCTGGTAGGAGTTTATAAGATTCACAGATCAATGGGATAAAGGCTTTGAAAGCCAAGGGATAAAGCGAGGAGGCCTGGCTGTGATCATGAGATAGCAATAGTAGAGTGATATTTCAGAAGGATTCATTTGCCAGAGCAAGCCATCCTCATCCTGAAATTAAAGGAAGGTGAGTTGAGGTGGTTTGGTCAAGTACTGGCGGGCCTCTGTGCCTCAGCATTGATGAGAATTGGGAAATTTTAAATTCTGGAGGTAAAATCCCCTTACAAAGATGAATTCAAGATGAAAGAGACATTTTTACATTTTAATAAGTGGTCTGTAGAAGCGGTACTTTCTGGCTCTGGACGTTATAAGTTCTTGCCAACAAATAATTATGTACAAGTACTTTACCTAATTTCTTTCCATGGGACAGTCACCCACAGTTATACAGTCATGCGCTGCATTACGTTTTGGTCAACAGCAGACTGCAATATGATGGTGGTCCCATAAGACTAGTACCTTATAGCCTAGGTGTGTAGTGGGCTATACCATCTAGGTTTGTGTAAGTACACTCTATGATATGCGAACAATGATGACATCGCCTAACGACACATTCTCTGGATGTATTCCCATTGTTAAGTGATGCATGACTGGACAAGGATTTGATTATATTTCTGTTTTTTGGTTTTTTGGGTTTTTTTGGTGAGTACGTTGGCCCTGAGCTAACATCTGTTGCCAGTCTTCCTCTTTTTTTCCTCCCTCCCCAAAGCCCCAGTACATAGTTGTGTATCCTAGTTGTAAGTCGTTCTAGTTCTTCTATGTGGGATGCTGCCACAGCATGGCCTAATGAGCAGTGCTAGGTCCATGCTCAGGATCCGAACAAGTGAACCCCAGGCCACCAAAGCGGAGCATGGAAACTTAACCACTCAGTCATGGGCTTGGCCCCTAGATTCTGTTTTTAATTACAAGAAGATCTTGAACATCTTCTCTTGTTACAAAACAGCAGTTACATTTAAGTGCCCATTCCTCATATAATTCAGCAGCCCAGAACAACTTCCCCAAACTTCTGCACTACGCAAAAAGATATCACATAAAAATCTAGGAACTGCTTGAAAAAGAGGTAGTGTATGTTCTGTCCTTTTGTTCTTCTCTTGCTGGATTCAGAACACTTCAGTTTAAACCTTATTACAGATGCTGAGCTCCAGAAGTATTTAATCTCCAAGGTTTAAATCTGAGGAAATATTTTCTGGAAGTACATTCATTTTATCGAAACTCCATTGGAATAAAACAGTTTGGATGGCCCATGGAGTTCCTTTATAATAGTGTTACCATTAGACTAAGCAGTGTTATTTTTTTAAGGTAAATAAGTCTTTTCTCCTGCCTTCTCTCTACCCTTTGCCCACCACCCCTTCCCCTTTCCTCTGAACACACGTGTTTGTTGGGGACTTAATTTATGATTCAATGATGTGGATATGAGTTATTATATTTTTAATAATGTACTTAATGTGTTAACTTTTTAATTTTCCTATTTTTTTAAGTAGCCTTTATTTTATTTTTTTATTTATTTTTCCTTCTCCTCCCCAAAGCCCCCCAGCACATAGCTGTATATTTTAGTTGTGGGTCCTTCTAGTTGTGGCATGTGGGACGCCACCTCAGCATGGCTTGATGAGCGGTGCTAGGTTCACGTCCAGGATTGGAACCAGTGAAACTCTGGTCTGCCAAAGCATAGCACGTGAACTTAACCATTCGGCCACAGGGCTGGCCCCTAATTTTCCTATTTTTAATACTCCATTAGGATCTCTGTTTCCCCATCACGGTACATTTGAGGTAATAAAGAATACAGACATCGATCTGGATAAGAAGATACCTGAAGATTACTGTCCCCTTGATGTTCAAATTCCTAGTGATTTAGAAGGGTCTGCATATATCAAGGTATTTGTCAGTGTATTTTTCAAGTAATTTCTTACTAATAGCCCAGAAGCTAATTGGCTAACTTTTTTCTTTCATGTTTTTATTGTCACATAGGTTTCAATTCAAAAACAGGCTCCAGACATAGGTGATCTCGGCACAGTTAACCTCTTCAAACGACCTTTGCCCAAATCCAAACCAGGTGTAGTTATGTTCCATCCTCTAACATCTAGTCTTACCTAAGCTTACATTTACAAATAAACTGAAGATAAATATAAATAGGAAAAATAGGTACTTTGGAGTAAGAACAATTGGAAATGTACTGTTTAGAATTTGTTAATTAAGCATTAGTGAATAGCTGTAGAATCTTTTTTTTAAAGATTGAGCTTACTTACCAGTTTTTTCTGTGTAAAAGAAGAATTTTTATGTTTTGGAAAGGATATGCTGTAATACAGTGTTTTCTGAACTTTTGTCATATGTATTCAGATCACCATTAAGCTAGTTAATACATAATATCATCAGGTAATTAACACATATTTATGTCCACTGTCTTTCAGGTTCCCCACATTGGCAGACGAAATTAGAAGCAGCACAAAACGTTCTCTTGTGTAAAGAAATTTTTGCACAGCTCTCTCGGGAAGCTGTTCAATTTAAATCACAGATCCCTCACATTGTGGTGAAAAACCAGATTATCTCTCAGCCCTTTCCAAGTAAGAGCAGCCAACCCTTTGAGATTTATAAACAGGACTTTGTGGTTTGGGGAACAGGATAAACTGGGTAGCTGTTAGGGTGTGTTGGAGGAACAGGCAGAGCAGAGAGGTAGTGCGCTGTCCGTAGCGGCAGCCTGTACAGCAGGCAACACAGACTACGCTGCTAACTCTAGGTCCTGAATAGTGTAACTCCTGGATTTTAAACAGTCTATGTTAAAAATTCGCAGTAGCAAGGCCATTATTCAGCAACAGTTGCTTTCAGGTGTTTATGCTACCACCATTGTGGAGGATTTTTCAAGGATCTTGCCTTATTGTTTAAATGAGATATCAATTAGAAAATGCTTAATTTATTAAATACCCATATATTCCTAAATTTTTGGAAGTTGAATTTTAATTATATTATTCAGAAGCAGTTAGACTTCCCTGGAGATCGATTTGTAGTTAGCTGTGCACTTGTTTTCTCCATAAATTCTGAGGAGTATCTTCATAGATGTTGTCAAGGGATTGGGTTTTTGGAGTGAAAAATTCTGTCCTCGTTCTCATGGGGGCAGGGAAGAGTGTCTGTCTTGTAGTCAGTAAGATCAGATACTAACTCTCTGTGTTTTCCTTAAAAAAGGTATTTTTTTTAAATTTGAAGGCAAGAAGGAAGAAATTAATTAATATATCGTTTCTGTTCACCTCAAGGTCAGCAGCCACATCGTAGGTCAACAGAATTTGAATTGTTAAAGTACATGGTAGTTTATTATATTCATGAACAGTCTTTTTGGTGCAAAATGTTAATCATGAACCCCCTTCTTCAAGTTTAGAATGTATCTTTTGAGAATGGGCTATGACTATGCTTTATGTGTTTCTGCCTTTCCATATTTTAGGTTATTTATGTCTGTGCTACTTATTTTTATAAATAGGCTTGCAGTTATCTATTTCTTTGTGCCATTCTTCAAATGATAAGAAATCCCAAAAATCTGCTACTGAGAAGCAAAGTCCAGAGGACCATCTTTATGTCCTAGAGCATAACTTGCATCTATTAATGAGAGAGGTAAGCATACCCTGGGCAGTGAATATGCACAAGCTCCCATCTGCTGAGTCCTCATTATTCTCATAGCAGTGACATTCACTATCTGTGATGGGAAAGATCCTTGTTGTATGCTGGGGGGATACAGACATAATCAGAATGCAACCTCTGTTCCCATGCAGAGCTTCTAGTGGTAGAAATAGACCAGAAGGTTTTTGGGATTTTTTTTGTATTTCTTAGGGAAACTTTTTATCTTTTGATGAGGAAGATTGACCCTGAGCTAACATCTGTACCAGTCTTCCTCCACTTTATATGTGGGTCACCACCACATCATGGCTTGGTGAGTGGTGAAGGTCTGTGCCCACGATCCAAACCTATGAACCCAGGCCACCAAAGCAGAGCACACCAAACTTAACCACTATGCCACTGGTCCCAGCCCCTAGAAGTTTTATAGAGAGAATAAGAAACACGTGGTAAGGGTGCAGACGGATTCTGATTGGGTGTTCAGGGGAAATGTCTTGCCAGAGCCTGTGAACAGGATGGCTATTTTGGGACTAGTCTACTTACAGGTCATCTAGAACTGTGTTTCCAGAGTGCTGGTTCACAGTTGAGGCTAATTTCAAAAGAATCCCCTGGGAAACTTAATATATTCCAGCCTCCCCTGCCTCACCCCCAAATCTGGTTCAGTCTTTTGAAGATTCTTTGCGTGGTTCTGATAGGCTTCCAGGTTTGGGAACCCCTAATCTAGGACATAATGGAATAACTATGTACTGATTGCATATGTTCTGTCAATGAGACTTACTGAAGAATATTTGTTTTTGTTCTTTAAAATAAAAATGACAGCTTGAAAAGGACCCTTCTCTTAACAAACTCGCATTATGCATGGCCTAGTAGATATTAACGTTTATCTGTGTGCCAGGATTGCCTTTATATTGGTTCACGTCCATTGCTTTTGTTTCCAAAATGTGAGCCATGCTTTGAGTGAACATTGTGTAGTATTTCACGTGTGGGTATCGGTCATTTAAAAATGGCTGTTCTTGTTACAGTTTCATAAACAGACCTTGAGTTCCATCACGATGCCTCATCCAGCAAGTGCACCTTTCGGCCACAAGAGAATGAGACTTTCAGGTCCTCAAGCTTTTGATAAAAATGAAATTAATTCATTACAGTCCAGTGAAGGGCTTCTGGAAAAAATAATTAAACAGGCAAAGCATATTTTTCTGAGGAGCAGGTAACGATGAACAAAGTTACTGGTTTTTTAGAAACTGCATTCCTGTTTCCTTTATTAGTTATCTCCTAGACATTATTTTTGGCATGCTTTAACCCTTTTTTCCAGGGAGAGGAAGGTGGCTGCAGTGTCAGAATTTATGGTCGTAGACAGTCTTGTCAAGTTCTGGAAGACTTAGACCCCTGGCCCATGTAACTTCAGATAGTGTTTGTAACACTGGCACTAAAACTTTGAAAGACGACTGACTTGGAATGTCCCTTATAATACCATACTTTCTTCTGGAAGCTGTCCCTGAGATACTTATTGCTGACCTGATGTAAATCTTTTTTTGAAGTTTTCTATGTTTTTTGGTTGTCACACATTTTAGGACTTTGGAAGGCACTTTCCCATATGTTGACTTACTTAATCCTTATTCTCTGGGGTAGATAGCATTAACCCATTTTTACTGATGAGAAAATTGAGGCTTAGAGAAGTTATGCATCATGCTCCAGGTGACAGAGCTAAAAAGTAGCAGTCAGGATTTATGCCAGGTCTGTGTAACTCCAAAGCTCCTTTTCTTTCTTCCATACGCATTGTTTACAAAAGAACTTGGCATGATTGAGCCTAAATAAATGTATCTTTTTCAAGTGGTAAAGGATGTTCTCCTGTTTTATTTTTGGTACTTAGTGAAGAAGTCTGTTTTCACTTCATTCGTAATTGTGCCTTGGTAGGTAGTACTCCAGACTTTCAGGCCTGGGCACACTGTTGTTCTGTACATGATACTTTATTTTTGATTTTCAGCTTTTTCCTGTTAATACAGTCATGGTTTTATTAGCGCATTATCTTGTCGTCTTAGAATTGAAACTTTTAGTAAAATTAATTAGGCAGACATGTTAGAGAAGACAGCATGATTCAGTGAAAGGTGTAAGGAATTGAGGGTAAAAGATGAGTTCAAGCCAGGGCTCAGCCACTTGCCAAGTAACTTTGGGCAGGTGACTTACTACCGACGGCCCCCGTCTATTCCTCGGTCAGCTGGAGATAAGGAGTCTGGGCTTAGGAGCAAATTAAATAATGTATGCGGAAGTTCCTTACAAACAACGAAAATATTATAAACAGTAGGTTACTGTTGTTACTTTCCTTTTGTACATTTCAATTATAAAAGCTGTTAATTTGAGTCTATTGTTAATCTTGCAAATTTGTGATTAAGCATAAAGTTAAATATTCCTTGAAATGAATGAGGGGCATGGATATAGCTATCTTGAGAACCATTACAAATTTCAGAGTAGTAGTTATAATCTTGGAAGCAGCAAAGCTTTCAAAAATGTCCCCTTTTTTCCCTTAGGTATAGAAATCACGTTCCAATGTATCAAGCCCATCTGTGTAACACCATATCCAGTGAGATGTACTGTTAACATGCTCATATATTTTGATATATGTGTGTCAGGGTGTGTGTATCTTTTTTAAAAACAAATCTGGGATCATTAAATTTTATACACCTGCCTTCAAAGATATTTTGATAGCTATGTAATATCCTATTATATGAATATTCCATGATTTCTTTTACCAAGTCTCAATTACTAGATATTTTAAATTTCTAGTTTGTTGATAATTGTAATGCTGAGATGAACATTCTCACATGTTTATCTGCTGTCGGAATTTTTGAGACACTGTCAGGAATCACAGAAAAAGAATAGAGAAAGTTAAGTATGGATTGAAAGAAACCAATACTCAGAAGCAGGGTCAAAGAGCAAATTCCAAGCCCATTTATGTAACAGCCCTTGTCCTTCCTTACCGGCGAGTCATTTCCTCCCATTTCCTCCAGGCTTTGCCTTCTCTTCCCAATAAAGTGCTAGAGTCGGCCCCTTAGAAACTGAGGACCTCCAGCAGTTTGGTTAGCTTCCATGGTTTAAGCTTTGTTCTAGGCAGTGGCTGATGATTAGCATATATAAAATATAAAGGAAAGATTACTGGCTCTGGAGTTAGGTTCCCAGGTGCTGTACCCCAGCTTACAGCTCTATAACACTAAACATTGCTCAACTGCTTTTTTGTCTTCTGGAAAATGGAGATAATAATGGTACCTACTTCACAGGGTTGTTATTAAGATAAATGATGTAATTCAGGAAAGCACTTGCTACAATATTTGGTACATAATTAGCACTGATGAATCTTATTTCTCACTTATCATGTTTATCTTTCTTGGAGTATAAGGTTTTAATTGTACAGAAAGTCTCTCCAGCTTCTCTCTTTTTTTCCCTCCTTTTTTTAATTGAAGTATAGTTGACATACAATATCCTATTAGTTTCAGCTGTACATTATAGTGATTTGACATTCTAGCTTCTCTTGAGAATGATAATTCCATTACAGTAATCGGCCTCAGCTATGGGTGTGTCCCAAGTCATTGGTTCCCAGGGATCAACTATTGATATTTATGAATGATTTATATTCTTTATAGAGCTGAGGTTATTACCTTAGAAGTGTCCTTCTCGCCTGTGTTCTCATAAGATTTCCTGAGTGGGCGAAAACAAATGGAGTTAAAAGAGAATAAAGCTGTGCATGAGAGTGTGCTGTAACAGGAAGCTGAGAACCAGCACATCAGAGCAACTTGAAGGAGGGTCTCAGAACTACATCTGACCTTGCTTGAAAATCTTTGCTTTTCAAATGGTGGTATTTCCAAAAAGTAGTCATCTGATTTTCAAATATCCATAAAATTGACGTGATTTATAATCTTATTATTTTATATGGTGACTTTCTAAAAATTTTCATTTCTTTTCTTTAAAAGAACTGCTGCAACCATTGACAGCTTAGCAAGTCGCATTGAGGATCCTCAGATACAGGCTCATTGGTCAAATATTAATGACGTTTATGAATCTAGTGTGAAAGTTTTAATCACATCACAGGGTTATGAACAAATATGCAAGTAAGTGTCAAAAAAAGTTACTCATTTAATATATTAAGCTGTTTTTTATGTATTGAGATTTTGGGTTTTTGCTAGGGTGGCATAACATTCCAGTAAATTATATCAACTGTAGAGTTTTTGTAAGAATTAGAGGTAAAAATGTCTAAAATAGTCTCTATTAGGTAAATGTCACATTTTTAAGCTATGGTGGAAAATGAACCTCAGCATTGAGCAGAAAGCTGCCATGCCTCCTGAGACTGTGTTCTGCTTCCGTTCTTGCTGTTGAGGCTGTGCTGAGTCTAAGACATTTGAACGGAGTAGGGTCATTTATATTAGAGCCTATACTCTCCATATGGTGCCTAAAACAGCCTCGGTGTTTGTTTTTTTTTTCCCAAAAACATATGCATTTATTTTAAATTCAAAAAAATTCTTATGTATTATTACTTGTCCTTTTAAATTTTTTAAATTATTTTATTGAGGTCATAATAGATTATAACATTGTGAAGTTTCATTTGTACATTATTATTTGTCAGTCACCATATATATGTGTCCCTTGACCCCAACCCCCTTCCCCTCTGGTAACCACTAATCTATTCTCTTTTTCCATGTGTTAGTTTATCTTCCACATATGAGTAAAATCATGCGCTGTTTGTCTTTCTCTGTCTGACTTATTTTGCTGTTGCTTTATCCAATCATCAGTCGATGGGCACTTGGGTTGCTCCACGTCTTGGCTGTTGTGAATAATGCTGCAGTGAACATAGGGGTGCATAAATCTCTTTGAATTGTTGATTTCAAGTTCTTTGGATAAATACCGGGAGTGGGATAGCTGGGTCATATACTATTTCTGTTTTTAAATTTTTGAGAAATCTCCATACTCTTTTCCATAGTGGTTGCACCAGTTTGCATTCCCACCAGCAGTGTATGAGGGTTCCCTTCTCTCCATATCCTCTCCAACATTTGATATTTTTTGTCTTGGCGATCACAGCCATTCTAATGGTGTAAGGTGATATCTTAGTGTAGTTTTGATCTCCCTTGCCCTAATAATCAGTGATGTTGAACAACTTTTCATGTGCCTGTTGGCTGTCTATCTATCTTCTTTCAAAAATGTCTGTTCATATCCTCTGCCCATTTTTTGGTCAGTTTGTTTTTTTGTTGTTGAGATGTGTGAGTTCTTTATATATTTTGGAGATTAACCCCTTGTCAGATATATGATTTGCAAATATTTTCTCCCTGTTGGTGGGTTGTCTTTTCATTTTGATCCTGGTTTACTTTGCCTTGCAGAAGCTCTTTAGTCTGATGATGTCCCACTTGTTTATTTTTTCTTTTGTTTCCCTTGACCGAGTAGTCATGGTATTTGAAAAGATCCTTTAAGACCAATGTTAAAAAGTGTACTGCCTATATTTTCTTCTAGGAGTTTTATGGTTTCACGTCTTACCTACAAGTCTTTAATCCATTGTCAGTTAAGTTTTCTGTATGATGTAAGATAATGGTCTGCTTTCATTCTTTTGCATGTGGCTGTCCAGGTTTCCCAACACCATTTGTTGAAGAGACTTTCCTTTCTCCATTGTATGTTCTTAGCTCCTTTGTCAAAGATTAGCTGTCCATAGATGTGTGGTTTTATTTCTGGGCTTTCAGTTCTGTTCCATTGATCTGTGTGTCTGTTTTTGTACCAGTACTGTACTATTTTGGTTACTATAGTGTTGTAGTATATTTTGAAGTCAGGGATTGTGATACCTCCAGCTGTGTTTTTTTTTTTTCCCCCTCAGGATTGCTTTAGCTGTTCAGGGTCTTTTGTTGCCCCATATGAATTTTAGGATTCTTTGGTCTATTTCTGTGAAGAATGTCATTGGGATTCTTAGTGGGATTGCATTGAATCTGTAGATTGCTTGGGTAGTATGGACATTTTAACTATGTTTATTCTTCCAATCCATGTGCATGGAATCACTTTCCATTTCTTTGTCATCATTGATTTCTTTCAATAATGTCTTATAGTTTTCATTGTATAGGTCTTTCACCTGTTTGGTTAAATTTATTCCTAGGTATTTTATCCTTTTTGTTGCAGTTGTATATGGGATTGTATTCTTGAGTTCTCTTTCTGTTAATTCGTTATTAGAGTATAGAAATGCAACTGATTTTTGTAAGTTGATTTTGTATCCTGCAACTTTGCTGTAGTTGTTAATTATTTCTAATAGCTTTCTGATGGATTCTTTAAGGTTTTTTATATATAAAATCATGTCGTCTGCAAACAGTGGGATACCTTTTATTTGTTTTTCTTGCCTAATTGTTCTGGCCAGAACCCCCAGTACTGTGTTGAATGAGTGGCAAGAGTGGGCACCCTTGTCTTGTTCCTGTTCTCAGAGGGATGGCTTTCAGTTTTTCCCCATTGAGTACAATGTTGGCTCTGGGTTTGTCATATATGGCCATTATTATGTTGAGGTACTTTCCTTCTATACCCATTTTATTGAAAGTTTTTATCATAAATGGATGTTGGATCCTGTCAAATGCTTTCTCAGTATCTATTGAGCTGATCATGTGATTTTTATTCCTCATTTTGTTAATGTGGTGTATCACATTGATTGATTTGCAGATGTTAAACCATCCCTACATCCTTGGTATAAGTCCCACTTGATCATGCTGTATGATTCTTTTAACATATTGCTATATTTGATTTTCCAATATTTTGTTCAGGATTTTTGCATCTATGTTCATCAGTGATATTCACCTGTAGTTTTCCTTCTTTGTGTTGTGCTTGTCTGGCTTTGTGATCAGGGTGATGTTGGCCTCATAGAATATGTTAGGAAGTGCTCCGTATTCTTCAATTTTTTGGAATAGTTTGAGAAGGAAAGGTGCTAAATCTTTGAATGTTTTGTAGAATTCTCCAGAGAAGCCCTCTGGTCCTGGACTTTTATTTTTGAGGAGGCTTTTTTTTTCTGAGGAAGATTGTCACTGAGCTAACATCTGTGCCAATCTTTCTCTATTTTATGTGAGATGCTGCCACAGCATGGCATGATGAGAGGTGGTAGGTCTGCGCCTGGGCTCCAAACCTGCGATTCCCGGGCTCCTGAAGCGGAGCATACAAACTTAACCACTATGTCATGGGACCGGCCTTTTCCAGGGTTTTGATTACTTTTTCAGTCTCTTTACTTGTGATTGGTCTATTCAAATTCTCTGTTTCTTCTTGGTTCAGTTTTCGGAGGTTGTATGAGTTAAAGAATTTATCCCTTTCTTCTGGATTGTCCAATTTGTTGGCATATAGTTTTTCATAGTATTCTCTTATAATCCTTCGTATTTCTGTGGTATCCATTGTAATTTCTCCTCTTTCATTTCAATTTTATTTATTTGAGACTTCTCTCTTTTTTGCTTAGTGAATCTGGCTAAAGTTTTGTCAATTGTATCTTCTCAAAGATCCTTTCTACTGTTTTTTGGTTTCAATTTTTATTTATTTGTACTCCAATTTTTATTATTTCCCTCATTCTGCTGACTTTGGGCTTTGTTTGTTCTTCTTTTTCTAGTTCTCTTAGGTGTAGTTTAAGATTACTTATTTGGGATTTTTCTCATTTGTTAAGGTGGGCCTGGATTGCTATCAGTTTCCCTCTTAGAACCACTTTTGCTGCATCCCATGTGAGTTGGTATGGTATATTTTCATTTTCATTTGTCTCCAGATGTTTTTTGATTTCTTCTTTAGTTTCTTCATTCGTCCATTGGTTGTTCAGTAGCATGTTGTTTAGTCTCCACATATTTGTCACTTTCCTAGCTTTTTTCTTGTAGTTGATTTCTAGTTTCATAGCATTATGGTCAGAAAAGAGCCTTGGTATGATTTCAGTCTTCTTAAAATTTATTGAGGTTTGCCTTGTTTCCCAACATATGGTCTATCTTTGAGAATGTTCCATGTGCACTTGAGAAGAATGTGTATTCTGCTGATTTTTGATGGAGTGTTCTGTATATTTCTATTAAGTCCATCTGGTCTAGTTTTTCATTTAATTCCACTGTTTCCTTTTGACTTTCTGTCTAGATGATCTGTCTATTATTGTAAGTGGGTATTGAGGTCCCCTACTGTTACTGTATTTCTGTTAATTTCTCCTTTTAGGTCTGTTAATAGTTGTTTTATGTACTTTGGTGCTCCTGAATTAGGTGCACATATATTTATAAGTGTATGTCCTCTTGGTGGAATGTCCCTTTTATCATTATATACTGCCCCTCTTTGTCTCTCATTGCCTTTTTGATCTTGAAGTCTGCTTTGTCTGATATACGTATGGCAACACCTGCCTTCTTTTGTTTAACATTGGCTTGGAGCATCATCTTCCATCCCTTCACCCTGATCCTATGTTTGTCTTTAGAGGTGAGATGTGTTTCCTGGAAGCAGCGTATTGTTGGGTCTTGTTTTTTAATCCATTGAGCCACTCTGTCTTTTGACTGGAAAATTCAATCCATCTACATTTAGAGTGATTATTGATATATAAGGTCTTAATACTGCCATTTTATCACTCATTTTCTGGTTGTCCTGTATTTCCCTTGCTTCCTGTGCTGTGTATCTCCGACTGCCACTTCAGTTTGGTGTTTCCCTATGATGGTTTTCTCAGTTTTCTCTATATTTTACATTTGTGTCTCTATTCTGATTTTTTGTTTAGTGGTTACTGTGAGGTTTATATAAAAGACATCATAGATGAGATGGTCTGTTTTCTGATAGCCTCTTATTACCTTAGTGTAAGCAGGTTCTGTCTCATTGCTCTTCCCTGTTTAAGTTATTGGTGTTACAGACTTACTCGATTTTGTGTTGGGAGCTTGCAATTTAAATGAAGTGATTGTAGTTATTTTTGATGAATTCCTTCCTGTTTTCTTTAATGCTATAATTGTTTGCTAACCTGTTCTGATAGAGAGCAGCAATTTTCTGATTTTGTCTACCTGTTTATTTCCTTTGAAACTCCTTTCTTTATTTTTCAGGTATGAGGGCCTTCTTGATCATATCTTTGGGGGGGAGGGCTTGTGGCAATGAACTCTCTCAGCTTTTGTTTATCAGGGAAAGTTTTTATTTCTCCATCATATCTGAAGGATAATTCAGATCATATCCAAGGCTGGGTAGAGTATTCTTGGCTGAAAGTTTTTGTCTTTCAGAATTTTTTAGTATATCATTCCACTCTCTCCTAGCCCGTAAGGTTTCTGCTTAGAAATCCACTGAAAGCCTAATAAGGGTTCCTTTGTAGGTTATTTCTTCTGCCTTGCTGTCCTTAATATTTTTTCTTTGTTATTTATTTTTGCCAGTTTTACTAATATATGCTTGGAGGTCTTTTTACATTGACGTAATTAGGAGTTCTGTTAGCTTTGTTTACATGTAATTCCAGCTCCTTCCCCAGGTTTGGGTTGTTCTCAGCTATGATTTCTTTGAACGAGCTCTCCGCTGCTTTCTCCCTCTGAAATACCTATAATCTTTATGTTGCATTTCCTCATTGAGTCAGATGTTTCTTGTAGAATTTCTTCTTTCTTTTTAGTCTTAGTTTTCTCTCCTCCTCCGTCTACAGCATTTCTGTATTTCTGTCCTCTAAACTACTGACCCTGTCCTCCATAATATCAGATCTGTTTTTTAAAGACTGCAGATTTTTCTTTTTTTTTTTTTGAGGAAGATTAGCCCTGAGCTAACTGCTGCCAATCCTCCTCTTTTTGCTGAGGAAGACTGGCTCTGAGCTAACATCTGTGCCCATCTTCCTCTACTTTATATGTGGGATGCCTACCACAGCATGGCTTGGCAAGTGGTGCCATGTCCACACCTGGGATCCAAACTGGCACACCCCGGGCCACCGAGAAGCAGAACATGCGCACTTAAGCGCTGTGCCACTGGGCTGGCCCCCAAGATTTTTCTTTCTCTTTCATTGTTTTTTCATCTCCAACATTTCTGATTGGTTTTTTCTTTTATAGTTTCAATCTCTTTTGAAGAATTCCTTCTGTTCATTAATTTTATTCCTGAGATCATTGAACTGTCTTTCTGAGTTTTCCTGTAACTCACTGAGTTTCTTTATGATACCTATTTTGAATTCTGTCATTTAGATTGTAGATCTCTGTGCCTTCAGGATTGATTTCTAGGTACTTGTCATTTTCCTTCTGGTCTGGAGTTTTAATATACCTCTTCATGCTATCTGATGGGGTAGACTTCTCCCATAGCATAATGATAGTATCTGGCCGCAGATTCCACCTGCCACCACTGGGGGAGGCAGGAGCTGTGTTTTCTGACCACTCTGTGACCCCTGGCAGATGTGCCTGTCTCTTGGAAGCTGTGCCAACAGGGCTCATCTGCATTTGTCCACTGGTTGCTACTTCTCTACACATGTATGTGGAGGTGCTCTGGCAGGGATCCCCTGTTCTGGCTGACCAGCTGAGCTGGTGCGCCAGTCAGGATGGGGAGGATGAGCGCTTTCTTTCGCATGCACGCACACCCCTGCTCTGCACTCACTGTCTGCCCACTTGGGCTGCCTGGGTAGGTGTAGACACCCCCACAATTGCTTACCTGCCTCTGTGTGGAGCATTCCCACAGGCTGGGTGGCAACTCTGAGAATGCAGGTGTTTTCTCAGAGGGCTGCCTTTTTTCCCTTCTCCTCTCAGTTTTATGTACTGGCTGCCATGCAAGGTCTCACACCCTAGATCGCTGCTGCTTGGGAGGGAGAGGAGATCTCCTTACATCCTTCCACTGCTTCCCAGGGGAGGGGTCCAGTGCTCCCACCTTCAGATAATGGCTGTTTGGATCTCTCAGGCATCTGTTGTATTGTGTGAATGTCCTCTGTTGGTTTATGAATGTCCTTTTTTTGTATCTTAGGTGGGAGAGACTAAGGGGAGAGCAATCACAAATTACAGATTAATATATGAAGAAGAGATTGGTGGTTGCCAGAGGTGGGGCTGGGTGAAATGGGTGAAGGTGTTCAAGGTACAAACTTCCAGTTATAAGTGAGTGCTGGGGAAGTAATGTACAGCATGATGACTATGGTTAATAATACTCTATTGTAGATTTGAAAATTTCTAAAAGAGTAGATCTTAGAAGTTCTCATCACAAGGAAAAAAGGGTGATATGTCAGGTGATGAATGTAAACTAATTGGAGTGACTTGAGAGTGTGGTGGGAGAGTCAGTGTTGAATATAGATGAAACAAGTTTGGCGTGAGTTTTTAACTGTTAGGCTGTGTAATGGGGTCATCAGCTTTCGTTGTACTCTACTTTTGTTTGCGTTTAAAATTTCCTGTAATAAAAAGTTAAGAGAGTGAGCACAAAGGAGAGGGGAACAGAAGTTACCAGCATTGAGTTGTTTGCATCTAGAACTAAGACCAAACAATTTATTGGATTATGGAGTTATGGTTACAGGACTCAGTGTAAATGTTCTAAACTTCTGTGAAGAAAGGTTAGAGATGATGTAGCCTTGATAGAATCAGGAGGGAAGAGGAAGTAGAAAGAAGTAGTAGAATGCCCTTCCTCATCTTTTGTAGCTGGGGCATCTTATGCTGTTTAAAGTTGGAAGTAATTCTCTTTCTTAGAACACCCCAGAAGCAAGCCTTGAAAACTGTTTCTTACACATCCTTCTAGGAAAATCTATACATTTACAAGCATATATATCTTACCTGCACCCTGCCTCCTTTACACAATATTGCATGCTTTTAAAAAATGAATTATAGTTTATATAACATAAAATTCACCGTTTTAAAGTTTACAGTTTAGTGGTTTCTAGTATATTCCCTATGTTGTATAACTATCATCGCTATCTAATTCCAGAACATTTCCATCACCCAAAAAGAAATCCTGTACCCATTAGCAATCATTCCCAATTTGTGTGCTTTTGTTACTTGGTAGTATTGTATTGGTGAATAAGCGTTCCTTATCAGCACATACAGATCTACTTCATTCTTTTTTACAGCTTTATTGTGTTCCATTGTATGTACCGAGACTTTTAATCAGCCTTCTATTGATGAACATTTTAGTTGGATGCCAGCAAAATAATTTGTACAAGTGCAAGTATATCTACAGGATAAAGTCCTACAAGTGTAATTACTGGGTCAAAAAATAAGGACATTTAAATTTTGATTAATGTTACCAGATTGCTTTCCAAAGTAGTTGCCACAACTCTGCTGTGACAAGAATTCCTCTTCCCTCTTACCCTTGTTTTAAAGAAGAATTTTAAAAATTTGATTAAAATTATAAGTTTCTTTCTTTCTTTCTTTTTTTTTTTGGTGAGGAAGATTGTCCCTGAGCTAACATTGGTGCCCATCTTCCTCTATTTTGTATGTGGGACGCCTGCTACAGCATGACTTCACAAGCAGGGCATAGCTCTGTACCCGGGATCCGAACTGGCGAACCCCTGGCCACCAAAGTGGAATGTACGAACTTAACTGCTGCACCACCGGGCCGGCCCCAAGTTTTTTTCTTTAAGCTTTCTGAATTTTGTGTTTTTCTTTGAAAGAAATATGTAAACTTTAATTCATCAAAATTACGATTTTACACAGACAATTGCCAAAGTGTTTTATTCCTAAATATTTACTGTAAAGTAAAGTTAGAAAAAATAGGTACTCTCAAATGTGGAAAGATATAATGCTTTTTTTTTTTGCATTTGTTCATCTAGATTATTTGATTTGGGGGATTTTGTGTTTCTGGTACATGTCATATGCTAAAAATTTGTAAATTGGTTTGAAACACTGTCATGATCTGCATGTTATTCGTTGGCTGTTTTACAAGTTTGTTTGACCTACATCAAGTTTAAATAGAGTGTACATACACTGACTTGTTTGCTGATTATTTCAGGAAAGGGTGAAAAGATAACAAAACTGCATTTCTGTGTGAAAAGGGAACTCTCTAGCTCTGGTCCCTTAGTAACTGGGTGAGGAAAGATGCCATCTGTGTAGTATACTAGGTGACATTGCTTATTACAAAAATGATCCCAAATTAGTAAAATGGATCTAGACTGGGAGGAATTATAAATACCTGACAGGGGTACTTTTGTGCTTTCCCAGATAGGGGGACTTCTAAAACTGGGCAGTGTCTCTTTTGGGGATCCTGGAAACCACGCCTCTAGAGTTGTTAAAAGAGCATGCGGCTCCTGTGAGGAATGCAGTTTCTAAGTCAAGCCGTCCCACACATACCCACTGTGGATCTCCTCTCACTGCACTGCTGCTGTGTAGACAGCTGCATGTCCTGCTGCAAGGACTGCCATAGAAGAGGAGCAGATGGTGTTGGCTGTCTGGCAGGCTGTAGCTCCTCTGCTATGTCCTTCTGAGGAGACTGGTGCCCGGTGTGGCCTGTGGTAGTCTGGTGGAAGTCTGACGGTTTAGCTGAACCTAAGAAAATCCTACTCCGTCATGGGTGTTGGTGTAGGTTATTAAAACTCTCTGTTACCTTCTTTTTCTTTGATATTAAGTTTTAATGTTTGTGGCATCGTATAAGGTAATTTTGAACATTTCTGATTTTAAGTATGTTTGTCTGTAAAGGTCCATTCAGCTGCAGTTGAATATTGGAGTTGAGCAGATTCGAGTTGTACACAGAGATGGAAGAGTAATTACACTGTCCCATCAGGAGCAGGAGCTCCAGGATTTCCTGCTGTCTCAGGTAATAGTTGCAGACCACAAGTCCTGAGTCCCTTCCTCTCATGACCATTAAGAAGTAAAATATAGTAAATTATAAAAAGAAACCATTTTTTCTGCCATCTTATTTATTTTCCAGTACACATTTTGCAATCTCTTGGTTAATTGAAAATGTCGAGAAAGTATCCTAGATTTGTTTCCACTTAGTTTCAGATGAAGGACCAGTTCTGAGACTAGAAAACTTTTTTTATTTCTCGTTTTGCCAATGTTTACAACCCCTCCAGGACCACACGAAAGTGGACAAGTATTAACCCAAGAAAGCCAGAGAAAGGGAGATCAGATACAAAACTGTAGTGACCATTCTCCATAGTAAATGGAATATTTTCATCTTAAGCCCTAAGAAAGAGTTTCTCCTGTTAAGGGCAGTATGGAAAGTGCTGGGTTCTAGTCTCACTCCACCACAAACTTGCTTTGTGACATGGGACAAATTTCTGCACCTGTCTTTCCTCATCTGTAAAGTAAGAACAGTATTTTTCTTGCCTTCTTCATGGAGTTGTGATGATCCACTGAAATACTGAGTTATGGGAGAAAGGGGAGGTTTTGAAATGCTAATGTATCTTTCACATAAAACATATATTTATATTTTACATAAAATTAACAAAAAATACTGACAGTCTCCATCCTACAGGCGATAATCTTTTATACTGACCTGCTTTGATGCCAGGTAAATAAAATGCATTTGTGAGGTATAGCACCTCTTGGTTGATTACACCTAAAATGGCTTTGGTCGACTTAAGGACACACACAAACACACACTGTATTGGAAAGCAATTGAGTAGCTCCCAGAATTGATGGGAAGTCTAGAGAACAAGGCTTGCAGACGGATGGGGATAAAAGGAAGTGAGATGGTGAGAACCACAACCAGGGGGATGCCACTGTTGCCATCCTGGCACTGCTGCCTTCACTCTGAATTGCCCCTGGGTGTTAGTCAGGGTCTTAACATGAAGTAGTGGCATATGCAGGATAATTTCAGGAGGGTCTATTTACAAAAGTGTGGGTGTAGGAGAACCAACAGGGAAAGTGTGGTAACCTGCTGATACTAGTAACCAGGCCTGAGGGGTTTAGTAGTCAGCAGTCCAAAGCCAAAGGGATATGGGTAGGGACAGATTATAGGTTACCTAAAGGGAGAGTCACATAGAACAGGCCACCTTGAGAAGACCAGCAGCCTTTTATCAGGGATACAACCAGCCTAGATAACCTCACAGGGAGGGTACCAGGGGAATAAATGCCCTGACCTCACTCTTCTCCTTGCTGTCCTACTGGCCCCGGTGGCATGGCTCCCATTACCTGGGTGGCTCCCATTATCTGAACCCAACCTGAAGCCAGAGGACATAGAAAGCTGTTAGTGTAACTATACGGATCAACCTGCCAGGGCAGAGTAGGGTGGAGGGTGGATTTGAAGGGGTCACTGGAAGATACTCAGCACACCTTGCTGCTTTTAATGTTGTTCCATGTTCACTGATCCAGGTGGGAGTTTCCAGTTGGCCAAGTTTAGGTCATATGCCCGTGCTCAAGCTGCCAGTGGACAGGGAGAGCATCGGACTATTTTAGCCTCTGTAGTGGAAGGTGGGGTCCTGCTCCCCCCCCGGCAGTATTCACACAGGGGAGGGTTCCTCAAATGTAAGATGGGGTTCCTGTGCCAGACAGTGAAAAACCCAACGAAAGTTTACTTTACATTCATGATGTCAAGTCACTGCAAAGTAAAAGTCCATGCTGATTGTCAGCAAAGTTTCCTTTTCCATTCACAGATGTCACAGCATCAGGTGCATGCGGTTCAGCAGCTAGCCAAGGTTATGGGCTGGCAAGTACTTAGCTTCAGTAATCATGTGGGACTTGGGCCCATAGAGAGCATTGGCAATGCCTCTGCCATAACTGTGGCCTCCCCGAATGGTGACTACGCTATTTCAGGTAATACTTTCTGCTTCTTTGAATGTGAAGAGAGCTTTGGGAGTTTGGCCTTAACATGTAGCTTTAATTTATCTCTACAATAAGTGAGTTCATGTAGTAGGTATGCTGAGCATTTATCTGACCATGGCGGTTATTCAGAGCAACAGAGTATTACCTCTTTCTAGTATTTATAACAAATGTTTTGCTTAGCAACATATTTTCCTAGGAGATCATCTGAACACTGCCATCAGCATTGTTCCTCCTGCAGATCAGAACATTTAAGGGATACGTGCTTTTAAAAAAGTGCTGCTGCAAATAGGCAAGAATATTACCTGATCCTAAAGATGGCAAAGGAATGGAGCTGCGAGGAAAGGTGTCTTATGAAGCACCTGCTATGAACAGGGCACTTTAATAGGCACTTACACATATTATCTAGTTAAAAATTATATTTGGAGTGCTTATGGTTTTAGTATGGTCTTTTCTAATACCTGCTCTAAATACTTGAAAAATTGGGTAATTAGAAATTGTTCCCCACAGGATCACAGCTTGTGAATGTGTAGGCTTGGTCATTGCCAGGTCTTAACTGATAAGAATTTCAAAATACACTTTTCTCCTATCCTGAGTAATAAAGCCTTATTGAGCCCTGCAGTTCTTAATGCAAAATAACCTTTCCTTCATCCCTCTCAATCCTGATTCTGAACATTTGAGTTTCATTGGACGGTAGGTGTACATTAACCAACTCAGTGAATGACTGGGTTATCAAATAATGTTTTAGAAAAACTAAATTGGTGATTTTCTGAAAATATATAGGACATTTGCCTTTCCTAAGCCAGAATTCATCTTGCCTCATTTTTATAGCACAAACAGAAATTCATGAATATTTGTACCAGCCTAGAATATGTAAATTTTTTTTTTTTTTTTTTAGCATATTGTAACTGAAAAGCAGTTTTAAACAAAAACTTTCAAGTTGGTAGACTGAGAAGGTTTTTGTATTCATGGTAGAATGAAGTGGGATCTACCCTTGTTTCCTAGTTTGAAAAATGAGTGGGTTGATATTTTGGTTTTGTTCCACAGTTCGCAATGGCCCTGAAAGTGGCAGCAAGATTATGGTTCAGTTTCCCCGTAACCAATGTAAAGACCTTCCAAAAAGTGACGTTTTACAAGATAGCAAATGGAATCATCTTCGTGGACCATTCAGAGAGGTTCAGTGGAATAAAATGGAAGGTCGAAACTTTGTTTATAAAATGGAGCTGCTTATGTCTGCACTTAGCCCTTGTCTGCTATGATTTTTTCCAGAACAGTTTTCAGAATTTTTTTTCCAGTGAAGTTTCCAGAAACTTTGATTTGAGATGTCTGCAGATCAACTATAAGCACAAGGAAAAGAAATCTTCCAAAGGAGTATTGTTTTAAAAAAATAATAATTAGCAAATGTTTACCAAGCATTTTGAAACCTTTCACTTTATAAGTGACAAGTGCTTTGAAATGCGGTTTACATACAGTTATAGGGTATACATATGGAGAGATGTAAAATAATACTTTTTTTTATGCAGTTAACTTGAAATGTTACTAACTTACGGGTTTGAATTTGCTTTTTAAAATATTCCTTCGATGTTGACATCAAATAAAGCATATGGTTAAAAATTCCAGACGCTTTCTGAACTCTTAACAACCTAAGTGAGTTGTGGCTTTAATTGACCCGTCTCATTCCACTGTTTGTTAAAAAGATTGCTTAAGAATATGTAAACACTCTTATAACCCAGCTTTCATGCAAGAACTCACTCACACGGAGAGAAGGAGATCCCTTCCCTGAAATGTAACGAAGTACATGCCCACAGAAGGAGCTGAGCTCCCTTCCCTGCCAGACCTGTGAAAGCTGCTCTTGTATAAATAAGTGCAGTACTCGCCTCCAGTTGTCTTTGTGCATGCCGGAGCCTCACCTGCACAGGTACACTGAGAACTTCCTCGGAAAGCACCAGCTGAAGGCGAGGAAGGCAGCAGATTGTCTTCAGGGCTTCCTCGGGTCCCCTTGGTCTGTTCTCCCATCTGAATGACGTCACTCCCCTTGCTACAACACTTAGTGCATGCTCCTGCCTCACCCTGCCCCTGGGATTCTCCGGCCTCCACCCAGGGACCTGGGATTGCTTCTTCCAGTTCAAGACTCCATCCTGTCTTATTCCATTAGCTCTCTGCTTTCTCAAGGGGAAGATACTAAGAGGTTAATGGATTACATTTTGCAATTAACATGTTTGAACTTCTTGGAAATAGTGCCCAATCCTAAAATGTGCCTGAGAAACTTCCCTTAATAAGAGATTTGGGCTTATCAGCCCAAAATGGTACCACTATCAATAATATATTGATAGTGGTTTACTGGTGAGTAAGGTTTTCAATTTTTAAAAGATAGCCTTCTAATAATTTATAAGATGACTGAAGTAACTTTTAAAAAGTCCTTTGTATTTCTCCACCTTTTTTCTTTTAAAGGAAAAATGGAGCTTGTAAGCCACAAAGCACTAACACCTTTGTGTTTTTGTTTGCTCTTTTTCCCTTCTGATCAAGGTTCTGCAACTTTCTATCCATGGAAATTAAAAGAATTGGTATGAATCTGCAATTAATTATTTAAAAAATCATTTCTAACTCCGATGTCTTGGTAGCCCACAAAAGTTGCCTTAGTCATTTTACTAAGCTAATCTGTACAGTTCCACTCACATTTGGAGTCTCTTAGTCACTTTGAAGGCCCACACTGTAATACAGTGAATCTCAAATTTTCGCCAAAGGACTAGTTTTTGTTTCTTTAAATTTGCATTTGTTGTAGATTGATATCTTGGTAAAATATAAAAATGAATTACTAGAAAAATTAAATTTAAAAAAGATACAAAATAAAAGCCCCCCTTTAACAGACATAAATTGGCTGTCAAATATAAACATTTTTGAATGCTTTATTTTCTGTTTCCATGATTATCTTGTCAGGAACCAGTAACAGGACCACCTTTTGAGTAGAACTGAGGAGAACACATGCACAGACACTGCCACCTGTTCTTTTAAACTTCATCTGAGCATCTGGAATAACTGAAGACCAACATCTTCATATGCCTTCCTTTCGCCCTTATTTTAAGTCACTGTTTAGCGAAGAGCCATTATCCACTGAACGAAGAGTGGAAACTCAAGTAAACGTGGGGAAAAATGGCAGCTCAATTGCTGTGCAGCAACTCTTGTGCCTTGTGTTTATTTACATTTTCCAGCTTAATGTTTCAACCTGAGTTCCCTGGCGTTGGAAGGGTGTGCCGTGGAACTTGGGAGACAGGTTGGGGAAAACCACTTAGTCCCTCAACCAAGTAGACAGGTTGGTAAAAGCTGTTATGGAATGTTGGCTCCATTACTGCTTAGCTCTATCAGCTTGGCAAGGGCACCCTCTCTGACCTGTTTCCTTGTGTATCAAATGGGGACAGGGATCCCTCTGCTAACCTCAGTGGTGATTCAAAGGTTTCAGTGAAGGTTGATAATGGATGTTAAATGCTAAAGTGCTGTGCAATGTAAAGCACTAAGTAACTTTTATAAAAATCAAGCCAGTTAGAAGCTGGAAAAACAGTTAAGACACCAGCTTTACTTTTATTTCTTGTTAGGAGAAAGCATTTTAGAAAGTCTTGTAATGTTCACATTCACAGATGTAAAGACAATGAGTGCATTTGTGGGTGTGAAGATTTCAGTTTTTTCTGGTTCATTTTTAAAGCCATGCTCTGTGGTCGACCACTTTCCATATTCCCTGCCTTTGTCTTTTTTCTTTTTTTTTTTTTTGAGGAAGATTAGCCCTGAGCTAACATCTGCTACCAATCCTCCTCTTTTTGCTGAGGAAGACTGGCCCTGAGCTAACATGCATGCCCATCTTCCTCCACTTTATGCGTGGGACGCCTGCCACAGCATGGCTTGCCAGGCGGTGCCATGTCCACACCCGGGATCTGAACTGGTGAACCCTGGGCTGCCAAAGCTGAACGTGCGCACTTAACCACTGCGCCACCAGGCTGGCCCTTTCCTTTATCTTTAATTTGTTCCTTTCACTTGCTTACTCTTGTTCCTCGTTGTTGCCTTCATACTTGGGCTAAAGTCAAGTCTCTTTGAATTTCACTTTGGATGGGAACTATTTGCCATATTTTTCACTTTAGGATCGGAACTGATGTAATAGGCAGTTCACAACTGAGAAAGCCCGTCTCTGAAACAGAGAGCACCGTGATGCCAGGGCTACTCAGAAGTGTGACCAGAGCTTGGGGTTTGTTCTAATGTTTGCAGTTTCCTATCTGCAAGTCCACTTTTAGAAATTTATCCTATAGACATGCTTCACAAAGCACAGATTCACAAGGATCGAGGAAGTCTGTAGGAGTGAAAAATTGAGACAATTAGAGAATGACTAAAATTATGGTAGAGGGGCCCCAGACTCAGGCACTCACTTTGACTTCTCTAAAAGTTGAGTTCAAATGGCCAAGGAGTTTTTCTACTCTTCATATTCTGTCTCCCCTTGCTTAGGAACCAGAAAAACTTCTGTGTTACACAGTATTTGTTTCCCTATTTACTGATCATGAACTGTTGTGGAACAGACTATATTTAGTTTGAAACTTAATAGATGAAGGAGAAGATCAAGATATGAAAGTAACATAAAATGTGAAAAACTTCCTGATAATTTAGTGAGTATACCATGGAGATGAGGCCAGTGGCAGAATCTCCTCTTCCACTCAAATCTTGCCTGGCTTCTCTTAACTTTCTTTACAGGTACTCCCAATCCAAGCCCTTTGGGACCCAAAGATGCAGTAACAGAGATGTGTGATCTGTGTTCATTATTTGAAAAAGCCTAGGGGCCGGCCCGGTGGCGCGGCCGTTAAGTTCACACATTCCACTTCGGTGGCCCGGCATTCACTGGTTCAGATCTTGGGTGCAGACATGGCACCGCTTGGCACGCCATTCTGTGGCAGGCATCCCACATATAAAGTGGAGGAAGATGGTATGGATGTTAGCTCAGGGCCAGTTTTCCTCAGCAAAAAGGGGGATTGGCAGCAGATGTTAGCTCAGGGCTAATCTTCCTCAAAAAAAGAAAATCCTCATGGAAATCATACATTTCCTCTTTAAAACCTCCTCAGATTTCTTTGCCAGAACACCATCAAATCAAAGTGATAGGCTGATCATCTCATGTTGACCAGGAAGTCTCATTGGCATTTATGTATTGTTGATGAATAGGAACAGGAAACTGAATTATTTAATATGTTTACTTTGTTTAGTAAAAAATCCTTTCAAACCACGAGGTACCTGAGGGAAAAATACTTCTAGCATTTTTAGGGACAGAACTACCTGAACAATCACTGGTCTGTTGCATCAAAGGAATTTTGATTCCTACCATGTGTGCACTTGATAAGGTCAAATTTAAAGCTAAAATTTTAGACTCATTTTACATTAGCAATATTCTTTCTCCCTTGCTCAAACATTCAGTCTCTGATAAACTTTACATAAAACCCACCAAGATTATAAAACATTCTGAATTCCTTGAAAGAGAAGGATGCATAGGAAATAGCTTTGAATGTATTAGTTAACAAGAGGAAGCCATCGTGGTTGAAGGAATAAGTCTACTGTAATAGACTGCCCAACATATTTATTTTTGTATATATCATTTGAAATAGGTATTTTTCAGTGAACAATTATAATATATTCATGCTATAGATTGCATTGTGCAGGCAATTAGAAGAATGAAGTTTAGGAATAAGTAGAGACATGGAATAATGCCCAAGAAACATTAAGAGAAAACAAGCAAGTTGTAGGGTAATATGTATAATAGAATCCTATTTGCCTAAGAAGAAAATAGATTAAGTATGTGTATTGTGGTGTGTGTATATATAGACAGATATGTTCATATATGCATATGCAAGTCTAGAAGAATATACACCAAATTTAACTCTTGTTCCCTCTGGAGAGTTGGGTTGGAGGGAGAATTTTTACTTTGTATATAAACTTCAATATCATTTTAATTTTAAAGAAGGATTTATCACATTTGTAATTAATCCCAACCAAAACCACCCACCTAATTTTTAAAAGACAGTGGAAATAGTGAACTCAGTAAGCATGGTCTCAAGGACTGGAAAAGCTGACAGCTGGGACGGGTTTGGGCGTGCAAAGAGGCACACATACTGGCAACTCACACAATTCTTTAGTGAAAGTTGAGCTGTGGATGCACATGCTAACAACAGCCTCAGGGATTTACTCTGCTTTCGGTAAACTAGAGAGGTGTCTGATGCTTCCCTGGAAACTGGGCAGAAACCTCTGCTGGGTATATAAAAGCTGATGACAGAGGGTTTCCTTTTCTCCCAGTATCCCTCTGGAGTTGTCAAGGAGACTGCCTTGGAGTCACATCCCTGGGGTTTCATATTTGGTTCCTCCATCTTGGTTACATCTCCCAGCATCCTATTGTGCCACCTTTTCTCTACCCATGTCAGTTATCTGGCCCTTGTGAATTGCATCCTCCTGCAGGGCTTGTCTGCATTCCCCGCTGAGCAAGATATCCTGAGAACCTGTCTTACCTCTCACTGCCTTTGCTCCTCACCTTCGTGTGGTATGATTTCTAATCAGAGTGAGTGTGAAGTGCTGCCGGGTGTCTACCATCTCCCGTGGGCTTCAGAGGATGGGGGTTCTCTGTTTCAGCTCTCCTCACATACCCAAAACAGCACGAAATGAGAAAGTACAGTATACACCTTTTTGGTTTCTTAGATCACAATCTCTGAAAGGATACTCTGTGGACAAAGCATGTATGTTCTGGTACAATTCAGCCTTCTCCAGAAGCAGAAAGGATTGTATTACAATTAGTATTCTGGAAGCAAAAACTTCACATTAGTCTTTAGGTTACAATACAGGAGAGAACGATGGGCTAATTAGATGTTTTTCTGAATTGCTAAAGAATGTTTATGATTAGAAACAATGTGATTAATTCCATTTTCATTTAAAAAATGTGCCAGACCCCCAACTGCGGCTGAGGGTTTGCTTATGTGACAGCTGCTGGAAACCTCACCCAGGGTCTCTGAGTTCTTGGCAGGGGTGGGTTCACACACAGTGAAGCAGGGTTTTATTTTCAGGTTTTATTTCATTCTTCAAAACAATTATTTTTCACAGTTTGAAACACAACTTACAGCTTAACATTTACAGTGGCCAACCTCCATGATTTCATATTTCCTTTTTTGAAAAATAGACAAAAACCTCAGGCTCTGGAATCAGAAACTTTCCAGAGGAATGTTTGGGATGGAGGGAGCTTTAAACGTGAAAAATAAGGAAATGGAAAGCTGAGGGAATTTTGGGAGAGCAATACATCTCTGGGTTTGCCCACGGAGGCCTCCCATCGGGTATTCTTTTCCATTCCTCCTTTTATGATTGACAATTACCATCCTGACTTCTGACCAGCTGAGAGGTAGAGTTCTGGAAAGCAGGTCATGTGAGAGAAGGTACACAGACTCCAGCAGCTACCCAGGTCCTAGCCAGTTTCCTGCTGATGGGCTTTCTGTGAAAGAGAAGAAAGAATCAAATTGTCCTAGACGGCCCCCGCTTTCTCTCTGGTACTGCTGCCGCTGTTGCCGCATGGCACCAGACACCGGTACAAGGAACCTGTCCTGGCACAGGCCTGGTTCCTCTGACTGCCCCATGGGGAAAGGGCACAGGTGTGCATGTTTACACATGTATGTAAGGAGATGGCCCGGTGGGGGGCAAACTTTCCATGTGTCAGGTGCTAGAGCTACAAGTCACTTGTTCAGACCAACTGCTCTCTTGCCTTTGGAGTCAAAGAAGTGCCTTCAGAGCCCTTCCCTAGATCACTGAGCGCTCCTGTCTGAGTACTCCAAAAGTCCCTTCCTGCAACTCTGGATTTCATTATTTAGGCAAAGGCCTCCAGGCAATGCCTTAACTGCTACATGGGAAGTAGAAGAAATGTGGACATTGGAGACTCCGAAGGGAGGGAGAAGAGAAGGAATGTTCTAGCTCTCCTTCCTGTTTGCGTGGGTGAATCTGCAGCTGAGGGCTGGGGACACAGCTAAGAACCTCAGCTTCCATCAATAATCAGGGTGATACCTTTGGTCTGTAGCTAAGAATGTTAGAGAGAGTAAAGATAACAGAAAATAAACTCATGCCTGCTTTAGAGCTTGCCAGTGGAACTTGGGAGAAACTCAGGCAAACAGTGACCAATAAATTGGGAGACTAAGGACAAAGGTCAGCTGTGATCTAGTCCGCAGTTTCACCCGGAGCCCCAATACCTCATGGCATTTTATCGATTTCCAATACTCTAATAATATAGCACTTATTGCTTTCCAAGTTCTTGAAGAATCCTCATGCTTTTCTTAAATCGCTCAGAGAGCTCCATGCTACTGTGAACTTCACTCGATACCCTGACTGTGAGGTAGGTAAGCGCCAAGTGCTCCTTAGCCTGGTTGGGAAAGAGCAAGGGCCTGACTTGAGACGTGAAGTGTTAGTGACTGAGGGGGACAGATTCAAAGCCTGAGCTGACTGACTTTCCAGTTGTACCTCCCATTATGCGGTCTCAGCTTTCACACAGGTAGCGTTACCGAGCTTGTCAGGGGGCCATTTGCAGGCCAGATGCCATAGTGGAGATGAACTGTTATTTTCCTCATACTGGCCTAAGTTGGGGCCATAGGAGGGAAAATCCAATTAACGTTGGAATAAGAGGAAAAGAAAGGTAATTTTCTCCCTATTCCTGGTTCCCAATGCTGGTCCTTCAGGAACAAATTAAGTTCCTCTCCCTAAAGCTCCAGGCCGTGGGGCGTCCTCTCCCTGCTCTGAGCAACTCACTGCAGCACAGCAGCACGGATCACAGTCCTTTTCCACCTCTGCTGCTTAGGCAGCAGATTGTCTAAAAGCCTCAGGTTTTCTCATGGCAGCTCCCACAGCAGAGGGTTGGAGGGCACAAGCAGAGCAGACAGGAGCCCGGAGAGCTGTTCCAGTGCTGGCTGCACACTTGATCTGGAGATACTCTGGCCTCTAACATGGGGACTCCTCCAATAGCATCCCCTAAGCCCGAGAGAGCATAGCGAGCAAGCAGCCAGTGCCTGCAGTATGCCATTGGAATGGCTCAACATGACTGGAAACTGCAGCCCAGCAAAGCTCTGGCTCAAAGCCTCAAGCACTCTTCCCCTTGAACTTCGTGCAAGTATGAGAACTGACTTTGTCCAATCCAGAGTCCTCGACTCCACACAGTCAATTCTGTCAACGTCCAGCTGCCCCATTAGGAATGGGTGGCTGTGGCGGGGCAATAGGAGGCTCTAGAGTGGACTGTGTTTCCTCCTTCCATTGGAAAATGTTTTCCTCTTGAGGTAGGAATGTAATTGGGCCCAGCCTTGGCTAACACTCAACATCTTGCAGCTCAATCTCCTCCGTTGTGCTTTCTGCAAAAGCAAATGGTAAGGCCATGAGTTACAAATCAGCCATAGAGTGGTTTCTTGGTGAGAACAAGATAACATGTGCCACCTCCAGCCATAAAAGCATGAATTGATTATCACAAGGCCTAGAGAATTACCTTTGAGCTTGTGTCTTCTCTTCCTCTGGAATTTGTACGCACACTTGTTACAAACCCACATGAGGCTGATTAGCATGGCGGCCACAGCAGTGAGAAAAGCAAGGAAGACAGCGACGAAGTGGAGGTCTTCATAGAGGATCTCTGTGGGGCAGGTGAGAGGAAAGGGGAACATAGCTCTTTTAATATCATGAAGTTGGCCTGCCACATGCTCACAGCTCAGAGGGGCGCTGGGCCTGTGGCTCTTACCCGACACGTGCAGCACAATGGTGCCAAACTGGCTGCTTCCCAGGCTCTCTGTCACTGTGATGACGTAGTAGCCAGAATCCCTCACACCCACACTGAAGAGCTGGATGGAGCCGTTGTCGAAGGTGCAGACTCTGTCCTTGTGGCTTTGGGAGATGTTGGCCTGAGTCCCTGGCTTCCACTCCACAATCTTCTGCACTCCCCAGTTGGATGTATACCTCCATTCGATGGTGGGGACGCCATGGCAGGAGTATTCAACAGAGAGCAGGATATCTTCTTCCACCGTGGCATTGATGGCAGACTGGGGAATGTACAGTGACACACCCTGACCTGCAAGATGGAGTGCTAGATGTGGGGCAACTTATATGAACTTATAGTAAAACGAACATCTATAATGCATTAATTTATTTACTGAGTACCTGTTACATGCCAGGCTCTCTTCTAGCTTCTAGTGCTGATGTTACAGTGGTGAATGTTCTGGACTGAATGTTTGTATCCCTCCCAAATTCCTGTATTGAAGACTAACCCCCAGTGTGGCTATATTTGGAGATGGGGCCTCTAAGGAAGTAATGAAGGTTAAATGAGGTCATATGGGTGGGCTCTGATCCCATAGGATTAGTGTCTTTATAAGAGGAGACATAAGAACATAAGAGCTCCCCTCCCCATCAACTTCCCCTTCCCCGTAAAGGGCACCCATGGAGGAAAGGCCATGTGAGTCACAACGTCTGAGCTCTCAGCAGAAACCAAATCCTACTAGAAACTTGATCTTGGACTTTCCAGCCTCTGGAACTATGAGAAAATAAATTAGTTGCTTAAGCCCCCCAGTCTACGGTATTTTGTTATGCAGCCTGAGCTTTTTTTTTTTTAAAGACTTTATTTTTCCTTTTTCTCCCCAAAGCCCCCCGGTACATAGTTGTATATTTTTAGTTGTGGGTCCTTCTAGTTGTGGCATATGGGACATTGCCTCAGCATGGCCTGATGAGGAGTGCCATGTCTGCGCCCAGGATCCAAACCAGTGAAACCCTGGGCCGCCGAAACGGAGCACATGAGCTTAACCACTCAGCCACGGGGCCGGCCCCTGTGACAAACGCTTTAAAGATAATAAATCGGCACTAGTGACTGGTGCGGGTGGAGGTGGTACACAATATTAGATAGGATGGTCAGAGAGGACCTCGCAGAGGAAATGACATTTGACCTGAGACCTAAAGGACAGGGAGGCAGCCACATGAAGACATGCGGGAGAGCATTTCAGGCAGAGGGTACGACTACAAAGACTGAGGTGGGAGTCAGCGTTGGCGTGTTTGAGGGACAGAAAGAAGGCCAATATGCCAGCATGCAGGGAGTAATGGGAGGGTCAGGAGACAAGGCTGGAGAGCTGGGCAGGACCCAGGTCATGATGTGAGAGGCAGAGGTGGGCTTTCTCAAGGGTGATGGGAAGCCATAGGAGGGCTTAGGCAGGAGGGTGACATTCTCCATTAAGCTTGCGAATGTCTGCTATGGAGAACTTTCAGGGGGTGAGGGGGTAAAGTGGAAGCAGGAAGAGCAGTCAGGGGGCTGCAGCAGGGGACTAGATAAGAGGTGCAGACAGAGCCTTGGAGAGAGTGAAAAGTAAATTTAGAATACGTATGTGGAAGTAGGGAGAACATGCTGACAAACTAGATGTGGGGGTGGGTGAGGCAGAGAGGCATCAAGCGGAGATTTCTGGGTGATTGTGTGGATGAATGAATAGTAGTGCCATTGGCTAAGGTTATATATGTGTCATTATACATGTATTAAGTAGGTACCACGCATAGGCCCTGTGCTAACTGCTTTATACACATTATCTCGTTAAAGTCTCATACAACCCATTGCAATTCTATCGAGGATACAGGAAACCTCAGTGTCAACAGGACTAACTAGCTTGTCCAAGTTCATTCTGTAAGGCTGGGAGTCACACCAGGGATGCGGACTCCAAAGCTCGTGTATTTAACCTCGATGCTCAAATCAAAGGTGAGTGGTTGGCAGTGGAGGGCACAGAATGTGACGAATGCCTCCCTACACCAAGACGAGTGGTCAGGGCTGGCTGGCGACTGGTGACAGGATAGGGCAGGATTTAAGCTTGGAGTCCATCCCTTGGTTCCCAACTCCACTTTCTGTGTGGCCCCCTCACTCTATGGCTGCCCAGTTACCCCAGAGCCCCTGCTGTGTGGCTCCAGGTAACCACGCATGTTACTTTTCCAGCCCTTTCTCATTGTCCTCTCCCATCCCTAGCATATCCCATTAGCGTCCCTCTCCTAAGACCTGCCTAAGTGACTGGAGATAATCTGATAAATTCCATGCTGAAAAACTGGGAGGTAATTACGGCTTTCAAGAGTTCAGCTGCCAAGGACCAGAAGTATGTTTTCTCCCCAACTCTGTATTTTAAAAAATGTTAAACTCACAGAAAGTTGAAAGACAAGTAGAGTTAATATCTATACACCTTCTCCTATATTCACCAATTATTAACACTTTGCCACATTTGTGCTCACTCGTGCATGATCTCTCTCTCTCTCTAGAGGAAAATGGGTCAAATTCCAGATCACGTATTTTTTTTTGCCTCTGTGTCCCTTGTACCCAACACAATGCCTGACACAGTGGCTGGTGAATAAATGTTTGTTGAGTGAATGAATAAGTGAATAACCAAACACCGACAGCAACAAGAAGGGCATGCTGTTTCCTGATGGAAATGTTGCTACTTGGGTGGTTTGAAAAGTTAGGCACATCTAAAAGCGAACATACATATACGAAAGAGAACTATAATTTAGTCAAGGCTTTATGTGCCAGTTCCTATGTTATATACTTATTATGTCCTTTACAATCCTTATCCCTCTTATTTTTCCCATGAGAGTCAGCAACATGCCCACATAGCTGGGAAATGGCAAAGGTGGGATTTGAATGCAGTTCTGTTTGATTAAAAACCCTGTGTTTTTCCCACTCTACTTTGTGACTATCTATATTATGTATTTATCCATGTTTTCGGATTTCTCTGACCCCAAACATGAGCAACTGGAATGACGATTACTGTAAGATTTGGAGAAGCACATTTAGTGCTAGTAACAAATCTGTATCATAACCTATGTGCATTTCAGTTACATCCTATGTTAACAATGTTGGTCAAGGTTACTGACAGACCAGTCTCCTGGGAGACCACTAGCCCTTTGAATAGCCTTAGGGACCTTCACTTTGAGCTTTTCAAGTTCTTTGGCCCCAGAAACAGCAAAACTGAAAAACAAAAATAAGCCCAAGTTTCTCAGATGCTGATACGCTAAAAACTGGCCAACCAGTCTGAGTTGATTTCTGTATGTTTTCTTGACCAGAAAACCTCCTCCTAATCAGACAAACTAACCAAGCATTTAACTAGGTTCCAGGAACAAACAGTTCTTCTTTCTGACACATATAATTAGGAACAAAGGGTCTATAGCAAAGATGGAAAATTAACAGTTCTAAGAGTTTAAAGGCAAACCACACATCAACTGTTCAAGAAGTGGATTTAATGAGTAACCACCTCTGCAGCTTGTGCTGAAATCATTCCAGAACAAGACCAGAAAAACTCAGTGCCTAGACCAATATTCAGATCTGGCTCAAACAGTCCACTCAAGGAGGTTGGTTCAATAAATCAGACTTTACTTGTAAAATGGGTGCCAGGAAGCCATTAATGAGAATGAGCTTTGTGTGGACAAGGGAAGATGTCGATGACATGGTACTAAGTTAAAAAATAAATCTTATTTATATTTGTGTAAATACACACTTCTACAGTCAGTGCCGTTGAGTCCATTCCGACTCTTAGTGACCCTGTGTACAGCAGAGCAGAACCCTGCCTGGTCTTTTCATGCCATCCTCTCATCTTTCGGCGCTATATTAGACGATGCTCTGCTGCTATTCCTAGGGTTTTCATGGCCAATTTTTTCAGAAGAGGGTAGCCAGGTCCTTCTTCCTAGTCTGCCTAGTCTGGAAGCTCTGCTGAAACCTGTGCACTGTGGGTGACCCTGCTGGTATTTGAAATACCAGTGGCATAGCTTTCAGGATCCCAGCAACATGCAGCCATCACAGTATGACAACTGACAGATGGGTGGTGTGGTTCCCTGATCAGGAAACAAACCGGGGCCACAGCGGTGAGAGTGCCAAACCTTAACCACTAGGCGACCAGGGCTGGTAAATATGTGTTAATATGTACATATTATGTGTAGAAAAATGTTGTAGTAATATATGCTAAAGTGTTAACAGGGATTGCCCCTTAAAGACTGAATGAAAGTGGAATTTTATTTTCCAGGGTATGCATTCATGTAACTTTGAATTTTCCACATTTATTGAATTGATAATAAAAAAAAATATATTTTTAAAATCTGTTTAAGTTCTCCTGATTCGATCAAGCAATCTGGTGTGCGAAGTTTAAAAGCTTACCTTGCTTTTCACCTTCGCTTGAATTCTTTGTAAAAAGCAGAGAATAACTAAATTCTACCCATTTCCCAGATAGATGGGGATGCCTCCTTTAAGGAAAAAGTCACAGAACTGAGGTCACTGAGCTTCCTGAAAGCCTGATTTCCTGGGGCTGGTGAGACCCCCTGGGAACTGGTCAGAGAGAAAGCAGCGGGCAGGTGAAAGCAGCTGCCTAGCTTGGGCTGGAATATAATACTCAGAATGGTTCCGTGTTCCTTTTCTTACAAATAAATTACACAAGTAGTGCTTTGCTGTTTTAAAAAATTGATTATTTAAGCAGGAGATATTTCCCGAAATCACCATAAAGGTCAACATTGTTCAGACCACAATTTCAGTGGACAGCTAATGTTAAAGGAGGATACATAGCTGATGTGGTCTCTGAGTTTAAGGAGACAAGGAGGATACACCTTAATCAAGACGACTCATTTTCACTTCACTTATCTGGAAAGCCACTTATCCAGCCAGTTTGATTATCAAACGCAGCGTCAGCATCCTCCTCCTCCTCCTTATCAAGCCTGTAAGCAGCTAAAATAGGAGTCAGAAAGCTAGGGTTCAGGAGTCCTAACTCAGAAAACTGTTGGAGCAGGTGGTGGAGAGACGAATCACATTACAAAAGGATTACTCCAGCTGGCAGTGGGGTGTGGTGGAGACACCTAGTGTGGGCAGGATACACACAGGTTCAACCCTGGGGCCTCCTAGCTGTGAGACTTGGAGAAAGTGCCTTCACTTCTGGGAGCCTCAGCTTCCTCCGCTGCAGAATGAGGCCTGGAAACCCTGCGGAGGAGCCTGGAAACCCTGTGAGGAGGAGGCCACGCAGCACGTGTAAGGCCCAGCAGGACCCAGCACTTAGTGCCCTCGAGGAGCTGCAGCCCCCA